ATCAATTGTTCCTTCTCCCGTTTCCCTCACAAGGAGGGTGATACAATCTGAGAAAAAAGTGAGAGGAATCTAGCTTGAGGAGTGAGGGCGCAGTTTTCTTCTGCCTGGGCCGGCGGTTATTTCTTATGGTCCCGTCCGTGACGTAAGAGTGAGCCTAAGATCGAGGATTTACGATAGCTACCGATGCACCTGCGGCTAGGATGTGTTAACCCTTGGAAACATGATCTGCGATGGCAAGTGTGACTGCCACCTCTGTCGGGAACTAGGCCCAGCTCCTCGCTATGATTCCGGCAAGACATACAAGAAGATACCCAACGACAACTTCATACTGTGTCAGGCCAATAAAGTATACAAAAGCGTTGTTGTGGTTCCTGGTCCTCAAGAATGTGATAACTGGTATTCTCTTTATTTAATATCAAAAAATAAATAATTAAATAACAGTTTGCCAAGCATAGTTTAAAAAAAACAAAAAACTTTTCTATCAAATAATCAAAACCTCTACATGTTTCTTAAGAATATATATTTAATAATTTTAAAAGTTTAGTGGAAAGTGCATTTAAATATACATAATTTTATTTGGTACAATTTTCATTGATAACTAAACATTTTGTTATTAACGAAACAGACATATTTATCCGTTAATATGTTTATGAATGTTTTAATTCATTCTTCACTTTTACTATTGATTTGCATTTTATACCTTTACTTCCAGATTACTAATTACCTACGGTAGGGGGAGTGATTGATCAGTAAACATTTTTGGCGATTTCCGATTATTTAAAGGTTTTAGTAAATCTCATAAAAGTGGTTTTTATTCTACTTACTTCTCCATCATCTGTTCCGTTTAGACGCATTTCAAAGGTAATAAGTGACTCCCCTAAGATCATAAACAATTCCAGTATGTTTTCTACAACACTCAAGGTTTTATATAAATAATTTTCAATGCGAATTCGTGAGGAATTTTAAATCAAACAGAAATATAAAAATCTGGTGCGCGCATCACACAACTTACACTTGCCACTCTACTTTGAATAGGCATTATTTTCTGGCAATGTTAGGCTATTATAAATTTTTTTAATTGCATTTTTAACCTAGCAAAAGTTTAAAGCTTACAGCTAACAAATCATTAATGCCATTAAAATAACAAAAATCCTATTCATTATATCAACGGTTAATTATGGATTGTACTATCTGTTGATTATGGATTGTACAATCCATAGATTACGGAATGTACGATCCGATGATTATGGATTGTACGACTATTAGTTATTAAACTTTTATTTTCCATTGCAATGTTTACTACAATAGAATTACGATATTTGCATTGCCTGTCATAAATAGGTCAACAGTTGTCACACGAATTGTAAGTCAATACTGTACGAATATCACAAAGGGAAAATTCATCCAATTATTCCCTAATTTAATTTTCTAAAAGGGAACATGATTTTTCGGAATAAACGGACGATAGATACCTAATTATTTAAATATAATATCACATCTAGAGTTATTAAGCTACAGTAAATGTATTTAAGGTTATAAACATATCCATGAAATATTTTTATATTTCTCTTCTTCTTTCACACTAGCCCAATGAAATAGTATTTTAAACAATGTCTATTGCCTTCATCCGGTGTATTTTAGATTCTTCTTTACTAACTTAAATTTTATTTTTTTTTAGTTTAATTTAATTTCCTTGGAAACATATGCTTTATGTTAAATAATGTCAAGTTTTCAGAAATTATCATTTATATTTTATCCGTCACTGTCCGTTACCTTCTACAGCTTTATTTATTAGGTATTATTTTTTCTAATATTCTCCTTTTTCCAACGATATATATCATACTTATTCCTTCTGACTATTATTTCTGGAGATTAATTTGCAACCTAGATATGCATTATCTTTTTCTCCTTTATTCAAATAACAAATTCTTTCAAAAGTTATATTTAGCCTTTTTTCATAAATCCTAACTATGAAGGATAGATAATTATTTAAAATAAACCAAATTAAAAGTACATTAGAGGAAGACATTTTGAACATTGAGCATTTTAATTGAACAAGTCGTGTTAAACAACATAAATTGGGATAAGACCTAAATGATATTAAAGATTTTAACCAAATCCGTTTGAGCCGTTTTTGAAAAAATTGTAAAAATGTGTTAAATCGAAGATATAAAGTGACACTTCCGATTAGCCGATTTTGACGAAAAAGTTGCTGTAACATTCCAGGTATACACAAATCTTAAATATGCAATTTCATTTTCGTACGTCTTGTCGTTTTTAAGCTAGACTATTAAAACACACACACATATGCAAACAGTCACACAGACCATTTTGTGGGACTTGGCTATTTGGACTCAGGGGACCTCGAAACGTGTATTTCCGTGAGAAACTGAAATTCGATAATGTTCACGATCACAATACTTTCGTTTACTATATATTTCATATATAGGTAAGTGAAAGTAAAAATTATTTTAAGTTTTTTCTAAAAATATAGCATGGGAGCCGTGCGTATTTAACTCTACCTCATAAAAGATACTGCTGCATATAATTTTTAAAATTAGTTACTACTAAATTATGCACAAAACACAATTCTGGCGGCGCTGAAACTTCCTAAGCCGCTAATGTGATATGTACATAAGTCGCAGATTTTAGAAAACAAGATTTGCTTTTATTAATGCTATGTCCAAATTTTTACGTCAAACCGTTCCCTAGGTTATTTTTATATATTAGCAATATACAATGTATATTTATTTATATTTTTAACCATAACTTAACCATAATCGCATCATAGCCTTCTTGGCGTCACATTTTCCTGTCAGCAAAGACCTGCCATTAACTTCCTACGGCCGTCGCTGTTTTTTTCTTTTTATAGGCCATTTTTCTTAAATTTATGAATACTTTTTTGCTGGAATTAATAAAATTTGGCAACTATTAGTCATATAGTAGTAGGATGCGAATTGTTGAATAATGTCAATTCCTGCACACTTATAAGAGTAGTTCACAGTTAGTGAGTTACCGATTTCAACCAAATGCGTTTTTTATGATACAACATCAAAAAATATTGTACACATGTCCAGAATAAAATATCTAGTGTGTCCACTCACACGACTTTCCTACCTATTTCAGAAAAGTTTTTATATCTTTACATATGTTCATGAAGAAACAAAAAAGAATTGAACTAGATGCATTTTCCTGAAAATTGATCAAACATAAGATTTGAGTACGATTTATTTGATAAACTAAAGCAATGTAAACCGGGTTAAGGTAGATCAGTGTAAAAATTTCAATACTCTCTAATATTGCTGATCAAAAACTTTTTGCCATAGCTTAGTATTGTCAAACAATAATTTCTTTTAAAAGTAGAGGAAATAGTGAAGATTGTGTGATGCGAGCAACAGATTTTCTTACTTTCACTTAGTCATCTTTATTCTCTCATTCACCCCTTTCTGACACCAGGATATGAAACCGTAATCTTACATTGAAAATTGAATAGCTGTAACTTCGTTAATAGTTGTCCAAAATGAACGATTTTTATATGGCTTTGTAGGAAATTTCATCACCTTTCAAACGACAGGCTAAATAACGTATTTTCCATAAAGTTTCATCAAAATCGTTCGAGTCGTTTTTGCGCTACAATCTATAGAAAAACATGTTTTTCATTTATTGCGCATGGAGCACCGAATTTCTGTCACAGGCATCAGTAGTCAAAACCCTACAAAATAAAAAAGTACAAAATCGGTCCAAAAGTTTCCGAGAAAATCTTGGCACAGACAGACAGACCTATGGCTATAAATATGTTTTTCGGACTCGGAGGGCTCTGAAACGTATAGATCCTACGAAAACCGAATATCGGAAATTTGACACGATTGCAGCACTTTCCTTACCTAGTATAGGTAGGAAAGTAAAAATATATATATATCGCCTGTGGTATTAAATGAATTATAATGTGTCATAAATTATAAAAACCAAAAGGTGTTTTTAGTAAAGTAGGCCAAGTAAATTTTTGTTATGAAAAACCAAGTTAGATTCTTTTTCAGCATCCTTTAAAACTTTTAAATACGAATTTTATAGAAATCAGAAATAGGAAATTTGAGTTCACGATTCTCCTGGAGGATTTCTTTTCCGACCATTAACATCACTTCTCAGGATTTTCTCCTAATTCAACGTTAGTGAACCATTGGAAAGCTGAGTTACCACTATTACAACCTTAGCAATAACTTTTAGATTTCATTCCTTTATTGGATAGAAATAAAGAAAACTTCTCAATTACTTTTATTTAATAAGTTTGGTTCTAATTTGTCAAGTTTGTATTATTTTGTGTAGCACATAGGACCCTAAATCCCTGATAATTTTCATGTCAATGGGTAGTCATCTTGAACTTATCGCAAGTTTTGTGGTTGTTGAAAAAAATGTCGAAGGAAAACTTAAATATGTTTTTATTATTAGGGAGACTGTAGTCCCAGAATGAATTTATTTTTTTCATTCTTTCATATTTGTTTTATGTGTATCAATGTTTCAGGCTAAGTTTTAGTCATTCATTAGGGTCCCCCATTCGAAATCTTCAAAACATATGCTGCTTTCAGATAACCAGCTCTGATGAAGGTGTACTTATGGCGAAATGTTGTCACACAAGAAAATTAAGATTTTTATTTCTTTGTCCTTTCACTCTTGACTAACTTCTCTTACTAATAAAAATTAAAATCTATTGTATGATCAAACTATTGAAATACGTTAAGAGGCTATGCTGGCCTAAACATGTTGGGGCAGCATCCCTTGACACTTTAGTTGCTCTTAAGTGGACTCATAAACCATGAACCTCTAACTGCATCTGGAAAAAACATGGCAAATCTATCTGTTCTGTCCTAGTTTAAGTTCATAAGGATGTTAAATCCAAATATGAATACAAACAAAAAATTCTAATAGCAGTTGTGAGGAATTATTATTATTTTGTCTTCTATTTTACCCAAAGAAATGGTTTGTTATTATTATAAATTTCTTAGGCCAAGTGGAGCAGGTGGAGGAAGTCGAGAACTTGTGCCATACAACAACAAAACTCCGTCATCTCCATCAGCAACTCCCGAAACTAGTGTGCCCCATCCAGTAGCACCTGCCAGGGTATGTTTGAATTATTCTTTCATATATTTTAACTTTAATTTTACTTCTTAAAGATTATTATCTTTAACTTTAATTTAATAACTTTAACTAGATCAAGGTTCAGTTAGTCTAGAAGGACAGATGAGTAAATGATGTTTGGAAAAAAAAAAGTTACACTTCGGTTTAGATAATTGAATTCAGGTTGTGAAGGGTTAAATATGTCTGGCCTCAGTACATTTCTTCATGGTCATATGCTCTTGTGTCATGTTCTTTTTTTCACCTTTTATTGATATACTTTTGGGATTCAATATTGTTAATATTTTGAATTTGAGGTATGAAGGTTTAACTTTTAAAAAAACAAACTGAAGATTATCTTTTTTTTACTTATTTAATATATTTAAACATCATATTAATCATACAAATATGATGCTTAAAACTTTTACTTATTTAATAAAAGATATTTTTAATGAAAAAAATACTACTAAAATTGTTCAATGACAAGATTTTGTGTGAAATATTAAGCAAGTGAATCGTTATGTCATTTATAGTTTTAGAGATCCCAAACATGTAATCAAATTTTTATTTTACTGGCATTCCTACATTCTTTATTTTATATATTCCTTGGAGAGTTAGGTGCAAGAAGAGATAAATTCATAATGAATAACGTTTTATGTTTTTTTTTTGGAGCCTATCTATCTTTATATAATTTAAAAACAATATATCTAAGAAGTTTTACTAATTTCATTTAGAATTGTTCTATTCTGTCATTATTAGTTGGGGTTCAAAAATGTTCTATGACAATTGAAAATTGTTATTTGTGATAATTATTTACTTAAACTTGTATGTAAATATGATATAAACTTTGCTTGGTTTATATAATAATAATCTTCATTTATTTTTTTTTTTATGAAATCTTTTAAGGTAAGTGGAGGTAGTAGTCAAGCTGTTGGACAAAGCCCTTCGTCATGCAAAGAATCTCCACGGAGTGAAGACAGCGATGCAAGGTCTGGTGCTGTATCAACTCTCCCACATTATCATATCAATGTCAATGAACTTCGAATTTTGCAGGTAGTTTAGGTTTTTAAAGATACAAAAGAAAGTTTTTCAATGATGAAAAATCTCTCACCCTCTTATAAATTAATAGCATCATATCAAAACACCAGATCTTATGGAACTTATATCGCTACTGTTAGTGCAATAGGTTGTATGTAAAAATTGAGTTTTTTTACAGAAGAATATAAAAACCTCTTATTTCTTTATGATTTATTAGTGTAATTTCATAATCTATTTTGCTATTTAGTAGAATACTTATTGCAGTTGCAGATTACAAAATGTCACCTTTAGCGCAAAGAGTATTAACAGTAGCGATATATTAATTTTAAATAGACCTGTTTACCCTGAAAAAGTGATTATCCTGAGTAAATACATATTTACTTATATACATATGGTGTATAATAATTGTTAGTAAATAATAATACCTGCCTAACACTGAATAAAAACTTCTCCAGTTTTCCAACAGTAGTGATTGTTTATTTTGATTATATGATACTCAAATAAACAAATATACTGTTCTTTATTACTGATCGATAGTTAAACTTACTTCACTTGTTTTATTGTATTTACAGTTTTATATAGTTATAGTTTTGTCTACAATGAAACTAAAATGTTTGTGTTGATTCTAAGATGATATGAGATGCTGAAAACCAAGTTGAGTTTTAAGCACCTTGGTTAATATAGAAAGAAACTATTTGATATTTATAATAAAAATAAATATTTTTTGTTAGCATGTTTTTATTTTCTTGGCTGTTAATATCGCCATAGAAATGATGAAGTTTTTATCCAGATGTGTTCTTTTATCCGGATTCTTAGTAAACAAGAGAACTGCCAATCAAGAATTCTACTCTTTTCACCAACCTAATAGAATAGTTCTGAATGATTGTGATATTAATTATAGTATTAGTTAAGAGATAGCTGAGTCTTATTACTTAACTGAAGAGATATGTTTCGTTAGAGCAAGCTAATTACTTATTAAGTAAACCGTTACTTCAACTCTTATTCACTCTAAAGTTTAGAGCTTTCCCAATTGTGTGTCTTAAATACACTTTCTTGATGGTATTATACTCTTTAGACAAATAAAAATATTTTCCTAATATCGTTTATACTTCAAATCTATTAGGAAAAATAAGCATGAATACCTAATGGGAGAATTCTGGCTCTGGTATCCTAGGTTTCTGTGTTTTAATTTATGTAATCAAAATATTAGAACACGAAACATAATATTTCTAGCAATTTTATCAGTCTGTCAAAGATTTAGCATTGTTATTACTTTGTTTATTCAACTGGTTATGTTTTCAATACAAATGAATCGTGATTTTAGTGCATATATAGCAACCATGGCACATAAGAGTCTTTTGACAAGCAGCATTATGATTTATCATGAAAGTGGTCAATTTTAGAACATTAAAACGGAGGGCCTGGAACAATACGCCAATCTCTTCATCAAAATTTTTAAAACACGTTTTGTCTCAATTTTTAAACCGACTTACCAATGTCGAAGTTACCGAAACCTGCTTTTTTCAATGATTTTTGTTAAATTTGAAGTATGAAATTGAGGATCAAAATTATAATTCATCACCTAATTTTCTTTCTTCAGACACCATATTTTTCAAAATTGATCACTGTTGAGACCTGTAAAAGGGTTTCCAGTTCTCAAAAGTGATATATCTTCACTTCCTTTTATATATATAAATATGAAGTAACGATCGTTCATGCTTAATCATTAAATCATTATTCTATCTTCATTATACGACTACAAGATCCTTTGTTTAAACATTATTTAGTATACTTATTTTTAGTAATGAAACTTATTTAGGCTGTTACAATTAGTCCAAAGTTCATCTAATAACTAGAGGGAGGGGAACATAAATAAATGTTAACTAGGGGTACCTCCTGCTCGTCTTGCAGTGGACCAACCTCCATTTTACAAATTATGCTAATGAAAAAGTGTATGAAAGACAGGAATTGTTAAAGAAGAATATAGTTGAAAACTTATATCCTGAACAGATACAAAAATTACTATCTGAATGATGGAATAAGGGGCAGTATTGAGAAACCCACATGGTAGCAGTACTCTGCGGTCATTCCATCTTTTATGTAAAATACAATATCAGTCACTAAAAACTTCTTATAATAGAGGGACTATAATATAATAGAGAGATTATAATAAAAAAAACTTAACAATTTGCTTATAAAGTTTTTTTTTCTTCTTCAATTGTGCGACAGACGCATGAAACTGACCTTGGCATGCTCAGTCATTTTGCCCTGTCTCCAGCATGTGCTATGCTCACCCCTGCCTATGTGATGTCTATGTGCACACTATTCTTCCAGCGTGATCTGGGTCTTGTCCCACCTGGCGGGTTCCTGTAAGCTTTTAGAGAGTACCTTTAATATTTCACCCTGGTAACAGGGCCCATCCATTTTAGTCTCTGCAACGTGGCAAAATTGGAGATGCTCAAATCTCAGTATTCACAGTACTTCTCCGCAGTTCGGTGCAGACGTCAAGTTTCATTGACTTTTACTGGTCCAAGAATGCGTCTCAGGATTTTCCTCTCAAAATGATCAGCCCTTTGTGCAACTGACTTGTATAGTGTTGACGTTTCAAATGCCTAAGCTGATATTGACCTTATTATTCATTTGTACTATCTTATTTTCATAGCGCGACTTGATAGTCTGCTTCTTATAATTTTGGATAAGGAAAAAATATGCTCTGATTAGCTGCTACTAATCTGCATTCTATTTCAGTTTTGTCTTCCAATTTTTCTGTTATTGTAGATCTCAGATATTGGAAGCATGGAACAACCTCAAAAATATATTCCCCCATTCCAACTTGTTGTTGTGCGGCCACATCATATTTCCTTATGCACTTAATTTTTGTTTTATTTTTATTTACGTTTAGTCCCATATTTTTCGCTTGCTGTTCTATCTTGCAAAATACTTCGTCCACAGCAGCTTGTGATCTCCTAACAATTGCGATGTCATCTGCATACACTAGGATTTGTACCATTCTTGGAAATATTGTACTACCGTGGTTCAATCCTGTCTTGCTAACAATTCTGTGCAGCACTATATTAAATAGTAGTAGTATCAGTGCGTCACCCTGTGTTCACACCAAATGAGCCACTTAGCTTTCTGTAATTAGTCTTTCATTAATTAACTAGAATACATTTGTCTTTTTATTTCTTTGTTTAAACCAATAATTTAAAAAATGTATATATAGAGGCGAGCAGAATCTAACGGAAGTTCATCAGACGATAACAGAACTTCAGGCCATGCATCAATGTCGGATGGGCACATCAGCTCTTCTCCTACTGCAGATAGGCATCAGCATTATAGACCACCACTCAATTCTGTACCAGAAGATGAAAGGTTTATATCATCTAGTATTAAAAAAATATATAATATTTGTATTTTTTTAGAGACTTAATTTTTTTTTTTTTTTTTTTTTTGTAGACTGTCAGCTAATGTAATGTCTGGACAAAGCAGATCAACCAGAAAGAATGTGCAGAATAGAAGCCGGCATAGAGCCACTCCAGCCAAGGTAATTTTATATGGTAAAGAAAGATATATGGATTACAATGTGAACCATAACAAATAGAAATAAAAATTGTAATCACTCTATGAGTTTATAGGCATTTGGCACCAGGAGCACTACATGTCATAAGACTCAATACTTATAGTTAATAGGATTAATACAATGCTCATAAAATTTTGGTGAAACTTAATATGATGTTTTCTATAATTGTTAAATGGTTGACTGTCGTGGATAATGAAGAGAAGAATAGTTGGAGTGGTCAGTCAAAAAAGAAGGCAAAAATAAATGATAATATTTATTTTTACATATGCCGACGTTTCGACCTGAAGTTCAGGCCTTTTCTTTATTTTTTATTTTTTTATTTTTTTTTTACCATCACTACTTATGTTTCTCATACCTTGTTATCTGGTTATTTTCTTAGCCCTGATGAAGGCCTGAACTTCAGGTCGAAACGTCAGCATATATAAAAATAAATATTATCATTTATTTTTGCCTTCTTTTTTGACTGACCACCCCAACTATTCTTCTCTTCATTAATATGATGTTATTTTTTGTTATATAGTCAGATTTAAAAACAGTATATTTAACATTTCTTTTTTATAAACAATTTTTATACATTCATATATCTCTTAAGTTTTCATGTTATGAGATTAACATCAAGTCACCATAAATGCAATATGTCAAATCAGTTATAAAATATTGGTCCAATTACAATAGATACTTTTAAAATAGTCACTTTTTCATTTATTTCAATTAAAATATTCTGTACCTTATTGTTATAGATTTTTCACATCAATATTTGTTATACGTATGAGAAAAGACAATTTATGTTTTACTGGAATACAATGACCAAATTTAGTTTTAGCTTTGAAAGCTGATTTTGGTGATAAAATATTTGTTTTTTAATTAATTTTCTTTTTTTAAATTTTTTTTTATTAGGAAAAGCTAAGAAAAAGTTGAAGCATTGCATTTTCATTGAGTTTTTATCAACGCTTTGATGAAGGTTTCAATCAACCCCTGCCACGAAAAAGAGATTTATCCACTCCTATCAGTTTACCTTTGCAGTATGCTGCTATTTCGTCCATATATAATACGAACAGAAAGGGGCCAAGACTGTCACCTTGTTTGTTTCTCCTTTCTATGTTCAAATGCTTGTCCTTCTGTCCAGTTAGCTTACAATTCCTTTGGACTTACAGGCTTTTACCATGCTTCTTGAAACATTCTCAGCTATTAGTGCTTCCCATATTTCGTCCCTTGGGTAGCCTCAGGGTCAGACATCTGGTATAAACTGAATTCCTGAGACTCAAGGGAAGCGAGGTACATATTTTTATCCCGATCCTAGGATTTTCCACAGTACATTTCTGAGAGAGAATACTTGATCCTGTGTTCGTCGTCCTGGTTGGAAATCAGCTTGCTCCTCTCCTAGGCAGCTCTACCAGAGATCTCAATCTACTTTCAAAGCTTCAATGGATCTATATAGTTTGTTACACCATTGGAGATTCACATCTGTGGTCTGTAGTTGAATTAGAAGAGCGAAGAATCAGAGAATAAGTGGTAAAAGTAGCGATACTTCTATCAAAAATCCATGTTGCCAAGAGGCAAGGATGGGTGGAAATAAATAAATTGGGTATGTGGAGCTCTTTTTCAGAAAAAGTATTTCAAAAGATCTCATTAGATCCATCCCTCCTTACTTAAAAGTTTTTTTGCTTCAGTAATCCTTCCTTGTTACTTTCTTGACAGTTACCAGTACTTTTAATTCTTCACTCTATAGACCAGTGCAACAGACTCCAAGATCTCATCCTTGATATACCTCCAGACATCATCATCGATTTAAACAATAAAAATAATATGTTATAAATGAGAGATTGAATTCTAAGTCTTGTGGCTAGTTTTTTATTTAGTCCTGCCACAAAGAAAGAGGTAGATTAAAATGAAGGAAAATTAATTATTAATTAAGAGAAGAATAGTTGGGGTGGTCAGTCAAAAAAGAAGGCAAAAATAAATGATAATATTTATTTTTACATATGCTGACGTTTCGACCTGAAGTTCAGGCCATCATCAGGGCTAAGAAAAGAACCAGATAACTAACCAGATATTGATAGACTTTACAACATCTCAATTTTCTATCTAAATATTCTATTCACTATATCTTAATTTTACTATTTATTTCCATTTCTTATATAACTTCATATTTTTCTGTTTTACTTTTTATTCTAAGATTCCCTTTACAATACTTATGTCACCTTTTTTGACTATGTTTACTTCATCATTCCATACTTTGTACCTGTTATTATTATTTGTCTCTTGTTCTTACTATTGTCATTATTCTAACAACTTCATTTTACTGTGATTTTTATATTTCTCATATCTTGTTATCTGGTTCTTTTCTTAGCCCTGATGATGGCCTGAACTTCAGGTCGAAACGTCAGCATATGTAAAAATAAATATTATCATTTATTTTTGCCTACTTTTTTGACTGACCACCACAACTATTCTTCTCTTCATTATCCACGACAGTCAACCATTTACCAATTATAATTATTAATTAGTATATATTGATATCAATAAATTTTTCAAATTTAAAGTAATGTTTTAAAAATGTATTAAGTTATTTTACTTAATAATAAATATGAAATTTAAGTACTATAAATTCAATATTGAGTATTCATCATCATCTGATGGCGCTATGGTCCTTGTAGAACCTTGGCCTCCTCTACTACCTTCCTCCAAATCGACCTGTCTTCAGCCGCCCTTCTCCATTTGCCTACTCCCAGGCAGATCATTTTCATTATCCTTAGATCATTTTCAACGTCTTCCAGCCAATGAAGTCTAGGCCTACCTCTTTTCCTCCTTCCACTTCGAATGTCCCTCCTTCATCATTTTTGGGAGCCTACCATGCTCCATTTTTTGCAAATATGATGTCTGGATATAATGTCTGGGGCATTATATGGCTTCTTCAGCTCAATGAAATTTATTATTACAAGTGCAATTACATATCTTTTTTGTTTGTTATTATTATACTTAATTGCTTAAGAACATTTTTGAATGTTTATAGTAAAATAGTAATATATATTTAATTATTATGTTTCCCATTGTGTAGTTGGTTCCATGTGGCTCGGGTATAGAAGACATTAAGTTAGCTATTCAACAGCTGACCATGAGATCTCACACATCAAATTCTACTTCAACTTATTCAAGCCTGAGTGGGAGTGAGGGAAGTGAACCTGTAGTTAGGAGGCTGATCAGGCATTCTTCTCTTGAGACTATCAACACTAATGTCACATCTGCTGATGAATTTGTTTGGGTTGATAGCCATAATAGGTTTGTAGAATAATTTATTTTTCATTTTAGGCTTTAAAATAATGTAATTTAATTTAATAAATAATTTTGTTTAATTTGACTTTATCTCTAGGTTAGTTGAGCTTCAGCAACTACCATGGTCGAACCATGATGTTCTGAAAGTTTTGCAAAGCGGTAGAGTGCGGTGTAGTATGGAATGGGTTGCAATGGAAACAGTTCCAAGGCTCTCATATCTGCTTCAGAGAGCTCTTGTTAGAATTGGTCGTGAAGCACAGAGGTTGTCCAAACCACTTGCAATGTGTGGAAAGCATGAGGTACTTTTTTTTCTTTTTCTCATTTTTTTTTATTGATTAATGTACACACAAGCTGTTTTCGACTACTTTATTTTCTTACTTTTAAGATTAATTAGATACCATAGGAACATTAGCATCACAGAATGTAGCTCCATTATATTCAATAGCTAGATTTTTGAAGCTATGATCTTACAGTTCCAGTGGATACTCACTCTTAGACTTAAATAGAAACAGTATCAGCACAGCTGGTACCATAAATGTTTAGGGTTCATAAAAACTTTTTTTTTTCAGATAGCTTCTGCTTTGAGAATCATTTTAAGTCCTGTTTTAGCAGATTCGTGTATAAAGGTAATATTTTTTATAGCTGTTCCAAACATTTTCCTTTTTTTTGTCACTATAGTTTACTCTCAATAACTCAAATTCTTTAGTAACATATATTTTTTTTTAGATCCCTTGAGAACATCTAGTGTGTGGATCTCTTTTGATCAAAGTTATTTTCAAAAATTATTGACCATTATATTTTCCTGCAAAATCATATCTGTGAATGCAACTTATGTATTGGTAAAAATGCATATTTGCTTTCCCTTTGTACCTCAAATTTTATTTTGTTGAACATTTCTTGAAACATTACCTAAATAATTTAAAAATTTTTAAAATAGTCTTTATTTTTCAAACAATTTTCAACTTCAATTATACCTCTTTTAAGTTCAGGTTATTTTACAGTCTCTTAATTTGAGTTGTTGGGAGATGAATTGTTGATATATACAGTCTCTATATTTATTTTTTTAAAACAGGTTTGAGGGTGTATATAGAGCATGTTGCATGAGGGAAGGGGGATAAAGTTTTTACCATGTATCTTTGTATTGTTTTTTCTTTATTCAAGCCTACTTAATTTTGGATGCAGCTTTGAGGTAAAATAAATAATTAAATATTTATTATGTAATGGTGTAGAGATGCCTGACTGCCATGTGTTGACTGCCATTATATTATAAGAAGGAGTTGTTCGGGGGTGTGGTCAAATAAATATTATATATTAAAATAGTATTTTATTAGTTACACCGACGTTTCAACCCACTTTGTAGGTCTTCATCAGGACGTGGTATCAGGCACTGCAGGAAGCAGTTGGTAGATCTGTGTGCTACCAACTGCTTCCTGCAGTGCCTGATACCATGCCCTGATGAAGACCTACAATGTGGGTTGAAACGTCGGTGGAACTAATAAAATACTATTTTAATATATAATATTTAGTTGATCCCCCGACTAACTCCTTCTCATAAATATTATGTAGTTCATATTGTTTTGTTATTTAATAGTAGTACTTATTACATTATTTTTATGTTAACTAATTTGTGCTATATCAGGCATGTTTGAGGTCAGGAGCGATGTTTGCTGTATCTGGTGATCAGCTGAAACAAAGTAAATCTCAAAGAGCAGGTCTTCACCTTTCTGTAGGCAGATTTCATCGATGGATGGTAGATGTTCGATTGGGAAAATTTGTTCATGAGTATGTCTTGATTGTTTTAATATTCATTAAATTGAAATATTCAATTTTTTATTGTTGGATATGTATAATACGTTTATTTGCCAGATTTCTGTTTCATTTTATTTTTTATGAATGTAGGTTAACTTGTTTCATTTTGTGACACTTATAAATATTTTAGTTATGCTTTATTGATGCTTTAAATTCTTTAACCTACATGTTTTGTATATATTTTCCAATATTTTAATGAATCGTATTTTTTTTTTGGTTAAAAATCAAGTCGAAGTGAAGTCGAAATCACTATAGTGCTGAAAAAAACTGATTAATAATATTAATAAAAACACTGAAAGCCTCCAGTTATTTTTTGTCATTTAATTGTTATTATTTGATATTAGATACGCTGCTGTCTATCTTGCTGCTGGATTAGAAAATCTACTTGAAGAAATTATTCTTCAGTGCCTACCTTCAAAACCTGAAACTGTCCTTACTGCTTCAATGTTTGAGCATGCAATTGCTAATAACAGTGATTTATGGGGTCTTCTCCAACCATATGCACATCTTAACACTGGGAGAACAGCATCAGGTAAATGCTAATTTAAAATGATATAATTTTTAAAACATGTTCATTAATTTCTTTTGCATTTAGTTCTTTATGGTATGACTTGATCTGTTTCAATTATTTGTTTTATTTTTCCTCTTTTCACTCTTTCGGTTTTGAGAAAATTGTGAAGAATTGTCATATAATATGCTTACCATCTTATGAAATATTAACAGTTCATTAAAATAGTTCCTATTATAATATTTTTATATTTATTAAAGAAATTATTATGTAGAGTTCATTGACATTCATTAATTAGTTAACCTACTTTTTTTATTGAACCATCCATTTATAAAGGAATTATTCTTTTGTAAAAGCAAGATAGTATTTTAGAGGCCAATAGATTTATTACTCAACCATTCGTTATATCTCCCAGGTGTGTTGATTAATAATTCTTAATTTTTTATTTAAAAAAGAGTTTAAATTGGAAGATATTTATGTAAAAAATGGTTTATTCAAAGTATAAACCATTGCTAGTTACTCATTTTCCCCCTTTTCTGGCAGTTTGTGGATCAAGCCTTTTTTTCACCTCTCCATAATCAATAAAATATTTCACGGGAAGTGCGTGAGACACCAATAAAAACAAGTGGTAGTCAGAAGAGGCCAAATCTGGTGAATAAGGTGGGTGGGAGGGGGAATTTCTAACCAAGTGTAGTAATGGTGTTTTTGACCACTTTCCTTATGTGTGAGGGACGTTGTGGCTCTGCAAAATTATTTTTCCATGTTATGTAGCCCATTCTGGTTGCTTTTAGATCAATTCCTGGTTGAAATTAATCATTTGTTGACAGTTTCACCTGGTTTCAAAAGTTCATGATTCACAACATCCTTCTGATTCCACCGTTGCCTTCTTTCCAAAGCGATTCTATCCTGCGATCGATGTTGATGATTGTTCTAGGTCAATTCATGATTTTCTGAGTCTTGGATTCTCGTAATACATTCAGTTTTCATCTCAGCAAAACTTCGCACACCGTTTTTCATTTTTCCATTTGTCTGTACTGATGTGGTACCCATTTTTGGATGTGATTCCCATGGTTTGGTGGCCATCATTAACCTCTCTGCCAGTTGTTGAGTTTGGTTATCATCTTCGTCCAATTATATTTGCAATTCTGCATGTTTAAAAATTTTCAGTTGATCTAGGTGTCCTTTGTCTTTTAAGTCAAAATCACCTCTTTTGATTACCCTAAACCAGGGTCTCCAAACTATGGCAGACAAAAACCGTCAATCCTACCCTAGAAAACCGTAAAAGCTTTCTTGATTAAACAGTAAAATTTGAAAAAAAAACAAAAAAAAAACAATTGAAAATACAAAATCTGGCAAATCACTCACTCACCAGGTTACTACAACATTTATTGCATGGGTTTTGTCTCTTAGAAAGCTAATTTTAAAGGTGAAATATAATTTATAGAACAAGATATTTTTATGTATGTGATATATCTCATAAAAAATGCTGTGGCCCGGGGCACTTCGGTGGAAGTCTCAATGCGGCTCGCGGCACATAGTCGAGATCTCAATGTGGCCTCTGGCCAAAATGTTTGGAGACCTCTGCCCTCCTAAACCACAATCCAAGCATCTAGCATTCGGTTATTGTCACTGTAAGGGAAATTCTGCCTTAAAAGTCAAGTATAAGATGACTTTCAATTGTATTTTTCTTTTGATTGAACAAGTAAAGCAGTACTGTCTTATGAACAAATTTGTTTAACCTGAAATTATTTGCACATCAATGGCGTTTTGAAAAGTACTATCATACCAACAAAATAATATAATAGGTTTGATTGTGAAACAATCCTTGTCTCCAGCTCTATCTTGTAAAAAAAAATTAAGAATTATTAACTGCCACACGTAGTTTCACTATTAGTTTTTTTAATAAATAAAACTTTTTAAAATCAAGCATTGTCTTGATATCGACAATCTGAATGAAATTTGACAATAAGTGTATGTTGACTTGCAATCTATTTTCAATAGATTTTTGGGCATAACATGTTCTAATATTAAAGTACATCTATAGCATGCTCCTTGATTTCCTGTTTTTCTTTGCAATACAGCAATAATTTCTATATAACCAGATTAATATGAATACACCGAACGATTAAATTAATTAATGTTTAACTTTAACTTTTGTTTTCTATACTAAATGTTTTTCATGTAAATTCTGCATACGTAGAAATGATAAAATCAGTTATTATCTGTTAAATAGTTAACTTGTTACGTTAGGTACCCTTGCTCTTCCTCGATGGGCGTCAGTGAGTTCTGTTTCTACAGATACTACATGCAGTTCTTCTAAAAGAGATCATAGCCTTCTTACAACGTGTGTTGCATCTGTATCTGAATTAGCTGATCTTTTGAGGGCTTCTTCAACTGTACTTGGAGCCAGGCCACATTTTTCCTATCAAGCAATCCAAGCACTTTTTTATTTCATGCGCTGTTCACAGGTTTTAACTTTATTATTTTAATCAATTAAATATTTTCTCCATTCTTTTTAATGCATTGTTTATCTCTTTATGTTTCGTTTATTTTCAGCTGGAGCATTGTGGATCTGTACAAGAGTTAGTTTATGAAAGAGCATATGTAGTCCTACCACCACTTTTGGAATGGGTGAGGGTAGCTTCTGCGCACGCTCAATATCGTCATTCAGTTATTATTGATCAGGACGATATCATGCAAGCTGCTCGACTTTTACTTCCTGGTGTTGATGCACCAATTAGACAACCAGGGTAAGTGTTCTGTTCTTATTTTTTAAAAGTAATGCATCAAGCCTTAGCTTGAGACAAAATTACTTATAATTTCACTTGTTCAGTTTAACTGATTGTTATTTATTTCTGATTTGTCTTTAGAAAAAAGAAATAGCAATATTTACTTGTAAAGATATTTATTTGATGCATGTATTGTTCAGAATACATAGTTATCCACATTTACTTCTTGACATTCCCCTATCTTATTTTTTCAAGAGATAGAACATCTACTCCATATCTATCTAAAAATGTTCCAATATCTTACTATATTCTTGCTTCCATCAAATTAAATTCTTAGTTCATAATATAGATAGTTAATATTTTCTATTTTCACAAAAATGATTCTACATCTTAATGTCATTTAATTTCCTTCATAACTTTGATTATCACGTCAAGTAATTCTTTAAAATCAGCCTTTTCAATCAATATTCATCTTTCTATGTGAAATGTCCAGTGATAATTAATTCAATGATTATAGACAAAATTTTCAACAAAAAAGTTTATTTGATGCATGGACCGATTCCGAACGAAAAGGAGTTAAGACGAATGTGTTTTCTTAAGGTGGTCATGTTTTTCATTGAATAAAAAGGAATTACTCAAAAACTATTTAAGATAATTAAATTCTAAGTTCACCATCATAAAGTAGACAAAATTTTCTTTGAAAAACAGTGATTAAATTTACTAAGGTCAATGATAAAAGGAACTTTTATGAGATCTAATATGGCCGCTGTACTGATGCGTATGAATCACGTGGGAAGAATTTATTAATTATTAGTTATCTTGAATAATTTTTGAGCAATTCCTTTTTATTCAATGAAAACCATGAGCCCCTTAAAGGAGACATAATATTGGTCTTAGTTCCTTTTCGGAATAGTCCCATGCATCAAATAAACTTTTTTGTTAGAAATTTTGTCTAGAAACACTTCTCAGAGCTTGGCCATTAAGAACTGAGGCAACCTGTGTAGTAAGGGAAAGTGTTGTTATCATGAAAATTTTGAATCCGACTTCAATATGTTCTGAGGTTTCCTGAGTCCAAATAACCAATTTTCACAAAATGATGTACGTGTGTATAGGCAAGCCCAGGTGTGTGTGTTTGATCCAATAGTATATGTGCTTTCATAAATACTAGTTCAGCTGTGGTATTAAGTAATATTTAATTATATAGACTATGACAATATGAAAATTAAAATTTGTATTTATACCTTGATTTAAATTAATAAAATTTCCTCAATGAAATATAAATAAATAAATCAGAATCCTTAAAACATTGTTGAACCTGAATACACCCTCTTAACGAAAAAAAGTTTCCTGCCTATGGCCTACAATACTGCCCATAGATGCTATATTATAGCCAATATCTTTTTTTTCCACGCCACTCTTTTTGGGCTAAACAAATTTTGTTTTGTTGTTTGCTTGTGACATTCCAGAATAATTGCTGATATCTGCTTATTAAGAATATTTTTTAATGATGTCTTTATCTTTTTTTATAAGATGTGATGAAAGCCTTTCTCGGAGATCCGGAGATGAAGCTGAGGCTGTTAAAAGGCTTAAGATTGCTTTAGCCTTTCGAATGCTGGGCTCTGGGGTGAGGGAAATGGTTCCTCATGCACTACAGCTTCTTCCTAGTACAAAGGTTTGTTAATATTGGTTTAAGAAATTATTAAATTTTCATAGAAAAGTTTCTTTATAAAATGTGTTTTTTTTTTTTGTTTTTTTTAAGTTGAATACAGTCTGTGACAGTGGTCTTAGTCCTTTGATGTTGGCTTGTGTTAATAATGATGACAATATGGTGCGTATCCTGTTGGAATTCGGATGTGATCCTGACCTAGAAACCCCACCTCAAGGGTCACAGGTATTTGGGTTTAATAATTTAAAGTTTTATTTCTTTATATTTTATTATATTTTTATTTTTATCTTAATTAGCTAGTTATTCTTTTTTTTTTTATTGGGTGATAAATATTCAGGACGCAGTCATTATAAAAAATTTTTATTTGTGCCGACGTTTCAACCCAAACCTGTGGGTCATCATCAGTGCTGAAAATTTTAAAATACAATCAGAGATATAATATTATACGACCGATAATGGTAACTAATAAACTATACTGATTGATGGTACATGAATCTTAACTATTATTACAATACACAATATTAAAAATGAAATATGTAAAAAGTTAGACAAACTAAAAATAATGTATATAATCCATTTATAAAAATTTTGTTATTCTATACCTTCATAATTGTATACCTTCAATCAAACTATGTTATATTTATATTGATTGGCACCTCTTGCTTATGTTAATTTCATTACTAGCCAATAGTTACAATTCTGTAACCATAAGAAACAACGCAAATCTTGTACACATCTTGAATATTTAGTCAGCAAATTATTTGCATTCTACCAACAGAAATATTACCTCCCTCCTCCCCTCTGACTATATTTGCCTACCTTTTGCTATCTGAAAAAGGACAAATAAGAAATTATTCCCCCGAACCTTTCGCTTGCCTACCAAATGTGTCAGTATTGAAAGCCTTCAGTGCTCAAACCACGGTTAGTAAGAGAAATATTACAATTTTTTATAAATGGATTATATACATTATTTTTAGTTTGTATAACTTTTTACATATTTCATTTTTAATATTGTGTATTGTAATAATAGTTAAGATTCATGTACCATCAATCACTATAGTTTATTAGTTACCATTATCGGTCGTATAATATTATATCTCTGATTGTATTTTAAAATTTTCAGCCCTGAAGATGACCCACATGTTTGGGTTGAAATGTCAGCACAAATAAAAAAAATTTATAATGACTGCGTCCTGAATATTTATCACCCATGATATGTAGAACAGTCGACTAGCTTCCTTCAATAGTTATTCTTTTATATCAAATTTTATCCTGAGAAAGGATTAATTTATTGTGACTGAAAATTACAAGGGGAATTGTGTTCTTTAAGTTAAACAAGAGTTTGCAAGGAAAAAAGAACTACTAAATGTTAGAGAAGATATGAGCATCTTCTTTTCTTTAATTGTGTGGATTAGTTCTATTATATACTAGTTCTACATTGTGTATAATTCAACCTGAAGACTTAGAAAGAAAATTTCAGGTAAATAGGAAACAAAGCTTACAAGCCCTTGAAGGGTTCCCCAAAAAAAATATTTGAAAGTAGTTTAACCAACTGTAAATATTTTTTTCAAATAAATTCTGGTACTAGATTCTATATTACTGTGAAAATTTATATAGTTTATAATTGGAAATTTCTAATAATTAAGAATTATTATCTGGATTCCTATCTTCATGGGCCAAATGCAACATTACAGTTATATTAAAAAGATTATTTAAAAATACATGAAATAAATATGTATTCTACAACCATCATTACTAAGAAATGCTAATAAATTTTAATTATATGAAGAATTATAAATATTATATAAAGAAAAGGAATTTTAAAAAAATATGACAGTGATAACATTAATACATTAATAATGTATTAGAATTGTCTTAATATTATAAATGGGTTGTATTATTATATATGCAAAGAACGGCATGCCTATTATGAAGCATAGATGAGTAGATAAAGTTGCAGTGGATGCTCAGTAAATCCTTGGAGTGCACAACTGGATGGTAGTTGCATGGAGCTGTAAAGATTGGTGGAAGTTATACTGGCAGAGCCCTGGACACGGCTGTTGGTTGTTGTGCTTAAATAATAATAATAATAATAATAATTATTACATATGGGATATGGAATTGTACATGTCAGAACAATCTATTTACAGCTGTGGAACAAGAATTTGAATACACCAAGAGTACCTACCAGCTAAATTCATAGACTTATAACACCTCAAATTTCTTCAATTTGTTTCAAAGTCAGGTATATAATAGTCCACAGTATTATACATACACAGTAGGTAGGTGTATTTGTGTGTGTGAGTACGCGCATGTGTATATATATATATATATATATATATATATATATATATATATATATGTATGTATGTATATATATTCACAATTGTTTCTATTGGGACATGCACAAAACAAAATATTGTTGAAAAAGTTATTTTTAGTTTATCTGATCAGGTTAACATTTCTTTGTAAATTATAAATACAAATTATAGCTAACTTTTATTTATTTTTTATGTTTAGGGTTGTCCTACAGTTCAGGCTGAAAATCAACATTGGACTGCTCTTACGTATGCTGCTCTTCAGGGTAATATTGCAATTGCTAAGCTTTTATTAGAAAGGGGAGCACATGTTGAAGGAGGGGCTAGATTAAGCGAAGAGAAGTCTACCATGACACCTCTTCAGGTATTTTAAACATTTAAAAATAATAAAAAATATATACTTACATTAATTAGGAAAAAATATTCGTTTTTAATTAATCAAAAGATGCTGTTTATATCAATTTTGTTTAAACTCTGTCAATATAATATTTTTTTAGGTTGCTGCTGCATCTGGAAATTTGGAAATGGTATCTCTGCTGTTATCCCATGGTGCACATCCTTTTTTCTCTACAGTATACAAAGATTCCCTGTCATATTCTGGTGCTGCTCAAAGAGGATGTTATAGGTAATTTTTGATATCACTTTCTAGAATCACATTTAAAGAAAAACTGCTAGCTAAGACATTAGCTTCTCAAGCAACTATTCTCAAATATTTCTATCATCAGCTATCACTATCCATTTATTTGCTTAAAATGTTATGGTATTACTCCATGTAATCATTACTATTTCAATCTACCCCACTCCCTAAGTTATAAGGATGCTTAAGTTTTGTCACAAACTATCTAGGAAGTTCTCTAACCTTCATTCTGGTGATATTGCTCATCTGATGGAATCCCCTTAATTGCATTGCTCTTGTGTTTGTATTATTGTGAATGTTACCACCATTCTGTATCAAAAGATGGGCTGGAGATTATATAGAAAACTATTTTCTCATAATATGGATGGCATTTTTCATCTCCTGTTCTCGATTTATTTATCAATCATAAGTAACGTACACTAAAACAGCATTGACTTTCAGATGATTACTCTTATAATAACATTTTTCATCCAGAATCAACAGAATTAATGTGTTCTAAATTGAAATCATGATCTGTATTTAAGAACTCTTGATTTCGATTCACTATTTTAACATTTATTAAGCACTATTTTACTTTTTGTAACACACTGTTCAAGGAAAAATAAATTTTTTATACATTATTTGTAAGTTCATGATTTTTAATTTAGTAATTTATAATTTAAAAATAATATTCAAACAGGCATATCTATGAAGTTGATGCTTGAGTATAATTTCTTCTTAGTAAGGTTTTTTTTAAATTTAGTAATATGGGAGAAATTAGTCATTTATGCAATTTTGAATTCCTAAATTCATTTAATGTAATCTTTCAGCGCATTTGCTGTTGCTGCTGCCCATGGACAAAGGGCAGTACTTCACAAGTTATTATCTCACCCCCTTAACTCAAACACTAAAGAGGTTTTGTCTTTAGAAGAGATTCTAGCAGAAGGAAACAACCAACTGACTGCTGAAAGAAGGCCAGGTGGTCGCCAGGTTGTATTTTCTTTCTCCTTAATTATATTGAATATCTACATGACACTATCTTATAAATTGTAAATTTTAATATTATAGCCTGGGGAATCCAATTCTTCTCAACTTCTGAAATTAAGCAAAGCCCAAATTAAATGCTTGCAGGAAGCTATGTACCACAGCACTGAAAATAATCATTTAGGTAATTTATTATTGGTTTTATAATAGTTATTAAATATTTATGTATTCATCTTTATATACAATGGCATCAAAAAAAATCTTCTAATCCTCTGGAAAGAACATTTCCTGCAATTTTTCAATCAAGAATAACTCACAAATGAAGAATACATGAACCACATAGAGGACCTCGATGTTGAAGAGATTAAAAAACCAGATATACTGGACATAAAAATTATCGAGAGGCTTAAAACAACATGAGCTCCAAGGATAGACAACCTACCATCAGAACTGTTTAAAGATAAGGGAGAAGAGTTAAGTGCTAAGTTACTACAACTAGTCAAGAAAATATGGAAGGAGGAAAGGCTACCAGAAGAGGCTTGAAATACAGACCTAATCTGCCCTATCTTCAAGAAAAGCTCCCTGTATGAGCTTAGTAATTACAGATTCTTAGCACTTTATACTTTCATGTATGTGTCGTGTTTTTCTTAGCACTGATGACTGCCTATAAGTTAGGCTGATTGCCTATCATTTGAAATGATTTTACATGTACTACATTTGCTGTATATTTTATTTTCCTTTATCACATCCCAACCAAGTTTTCTTTGATTCAATTTTCTGTCAATAATATTTCCACTATTGTAATTTTTTTTGTGTGTCATAGAAATTACACTTGACCTCAGAAATCTTGGTGTCAGTTGGAGCCTTCATTGTTGGATGTCAACTTTAGCAACCGCGCATGGTCATATTGAAAGTATGATTGACCAGTTACTTCAAGATTTCTTACATGTTTGGCCTGATGATTGTTCAGCACAATTTGTTGATGAATGTTTGCCTCTATTATTTAATATTTTTCGATATAGCAAGGTAATTTTTGTTTATGTTATTATCATCCTTTTTATTTACTCAGTTATATATTTTTTTTTATAATCTATTTATTGAATAATAATACAATCAGCCACTGCTAGAGGGCTATAAGTATTAGGGCTGAAAGTTCTCATTTATACAATATATACAAATAATAGAGAAATAAATATAAATATAAAAAGTAAATAAATAATACTGATGAAGAAAGTAAATAAAAAGAAAAAAAATAAACAAATAAAATAAAATAAAAACTTCTAAACACACAGTTATGTATAAATAACTACATTTGAGAGTTCTATACCTAACAAAAGATTTTAAGCAATCAGTATTGTTTGTATTGATGAGTTAAGAATAACTATTATTCGCACACTAAAATCCTTTAAAATTGATTTGACGTCCTTGAAACTAAATTCTTATTCATTTTCTCTATTATTAATTTTTAGCTGGCTCAGTAAAGAATTAGTTTTTATAAAATTCATTGAACGGTAGTGTTACTTCCTTTGACTTCATAGTTAAAATGTTCCCAGTTTTAATTTACAATCCTAATTTTTAACTAAATAAGATGTAGAATTATATAACTACTAAGGTATGAATTTTTAGAACCAATTATACTAAACAGCCACTTGTACTAACAAAATGTATTAAATTATTCAAATAAATATCTTGATACAAATTATATAAACAAAAGATTAATAATTACTTATATGTAAAGTATACAATTACAAGTTCTAAAATATTCTGTTTTATTATAAGGATGACACAGCATTGCATTAGAGATGCACTTGTCCAAATAACAGGCTGTGTTTAATAGAGTGGTTCAGAGCGGATGATTTGGATATTGTCGGTAGATCAGAGGCTGCAGTTCATGAGACTTTCCTTGCGCTGGAAGCAACAGCCGGACAACTGGGACTGCTGTAAATGCTGTGAAAACCATGTATATGACCTCCAAGTTTGGTATCTTGGCAGATAATGTGTAGTTTGGCTTCTATAAGTTTGAAAAAGTGGATGAGATCTTGTACTTGGGATCCCTAATAACTGGGGTAAATGACAATACAAAGGAAATTGAGAGGAGAAAAATCGTTGCTAACCGATGTTACTTTGGGCTAGGAAGACATCTAAGGAGCAAGTATCTCTCAAAGACAACAAAATTACAGCTGTATAAGATGAATGAAGTTTATTGGTTTTTAAGAGAAAAATTCTGCAGCGCATTTATGGACCTAGAAGAGTCGGTCAAACATAGCTCAGAAGGAGTAATCAAGAAATATATAATCTCCTTGGTGAACTTGACATTATGAATCATATTAGGCTAGGGAGATTGAGGTGGGCTGGCCATGTAGCACGAATGTCAGAGGATGAGATTGGAGTACTGTGCTGCCCAACGTTGTGCAGACTGGCGGAAGTTATTGGAGGTGGCCAGGGATCAGTAATCTGTTGAGCCAATGGAAGAAGAAGATTATAAGAATGACAAACAATCACGATTTGCACTCTATTCATGCTTAATGAGGCTTGGTTTGAAACTTCGGCAAGCCCAAAAACCATTATAAACCGCAAATCCTGATGGTTTTTCACCCTAATAATTTTAAAATAACAGTCAGCTATATATATATATCAATCTATCTAGAATAAAAGAAGAAATCTAATTCTTCTTTTACCATAATATATTTTTACTTTCTTATAATGTATATATTTCAAATGAATATACATATTCTAAAATATTCTGTTTTATGTTTTACTCTTGTATTTTTATTTTATAATTATTTTTTCAGAATGAAGGAACAACTTTGCTCTTGGCTGACATCTTCTCTACTTGTTATGGTTGGGAACCAATCAGACCTATTAGGGACTCAACTTTGAATGGAGGTGCCAGGATTGATCCTAAATTTGTTAACAATCCAGAACTTTCTGACGTTCAGTTTCGAGTTGAAGGAAGAGTATTTTATGCACATAAGATTGTTTTGGTCACATCTTCACCAAGATTTAGGGGCATGCTTAGTTCGAAATTGTGTGAGGGTAATCCACCAATAGTCCAGATAAACGATATCAGATATCACATTTTTCAGGTGATTACTTTTCTTATTCTCACTTTGTGAGTAATAAATTATAAATCTATTCATTGTTTCAAATAAGTTTGATTTATTACAAGCTTGCAATATAAAAAAAACTATTTATGTGTATATATATAATGTAATAATAAATTTTTACTTTCACTTACGTATATATGTAATATATAGTAAGGGTAAGTATTGCGATCGTGAACATTTTCGAATCTTAGTTTTCAACGGAAATACGTGTTTTGAGGTCTCCTGAGTTCAAATAACCAAGTGTCGCCAAATGGTCTGTGTGTGTGTGTGTCTGTCTGTCTGGGTGTGTGTTAACAGTCTAGCTCATAAACAAAAAGTAGTACGAAACTAGTATTAAGTATTTAAGGTTTGTATATAGGCTGGATGTGACAGCAACGTTTTCGTTAAAATCGGCTATCCGGAAGAGCCACTTTATATCAACGGTGAAACATAGTTTTACAATTTACTCAAAAACGGCTCTAACGATTTTGATGAAACTTGGTGTATCATTGTATAATTAAGTAGTCTATAATATCATTTAGTTTTTATTCCTGTTGATGTCACTTTACAGAGCTTAAATGCAAAATGTTCATATGCGTCTTCTTCTATATGGTTTATTTTAAATAATTAACTATCTCTCATTATTAAGAGTTACAAAAAATGCTAAATATAACTTTTGAAAGAATTTGATAATTTAATAAAGGAGAAAATAATAAAAATGTTTATCCAGGTCAAAAATGAATCTCTGGAAATACTAGTCAGAAGGTATACGTATAATATATCGTTGGAAAGTGGAAAAATTTAGAAAAAACAATATCTAATATTGAAAGTTGTAGAAGACAACGGAGAGTGACAAAAAAATTATAAATAATAATTTTTGATAACTAATAATATTTAATGTAAATCACATGTTTTCAAGGAAATTAGGTGAAATTTACTAACTAAATGTAAACTTTTAAGTTTAAAAAAGTATTTAAAATCCTCCTATTCAAGGCAATGACATTGTTTAAAAAACTATTTCATTGTACTTGTGTGAAGGAAGAAGGAAAATATAAAATAATTTCATGGATGTATAAAGCATATGTTCATAACCTTAAATACATTTACTGTAGTTTAATAATTCTAGATCTGATATTATATTTAAATAATTAGGTATCAACGTCTGTTTATTCCGAAATATTGTCATGTAACTTTTTAGAAAATTAAATTAGTGAATAATTTGACGAATCTTCCCTTTGTGATATTCCAACAGTATCCACTACTATTTCATTGTACTTGTGTGAAAGAAGAAGTGAAATATAAAAATATTTCATAGATACGTTTATAACCTTAAATATATTTACTGTAGTTTAATAACTCTAGATCTGATATTATATTTAAATATTTATGTAGCTATCGTCTGTTTATTCCGAAAAACCATCATGTAACCTTTTAGAAAATTAAATTAGTGAATAATTCGATGAAATTTCTCTTTGTGATATTCCAACAGTATCCACTTACAATTATTATGACAACTTTTGACCAGTTTATGACAGACAATGCAAATCTCTGAATTCTGTTTTAGTAAACTTTGCAATGGAAAATAACAGTTTAATAACTAATAGTCGTACAATCCATAATCAACGGATCGAACAATCCATAATCAACGAATCGTACAATCCATAATCAACCGGTGATATAATAAATAGGACTTTTGTTATTTTAATAGTGTTTATGATTTGTTAGCTGCAATCTTTTAGCTTTAGCTCAGTTAAAAATGCAATTAAAAACATTTTATAATAACCCAACATGGCCAGAAAATAATTTCTATTCAAAGTTGAGCGGTAAGTGAAAGTTGTGCGCACCATATTTTTTTTTTTTTTCAATTATTGTGATAAAATTATTTTTAACACTTTAAAAATACATGATACTTTTTTTAACAGTATATTACAACTTTTGAGAGAAAAAAAAAATTTGATCCACGGAGAAAGATTCACTCGAATGGCTTGGTCATGTGTTAAAGTGTTAAATGAGAAATATATAATTTTTTTGGTATTGCTGGCTTTTTGTGGTGCATATTTTTTTATCATTGGACTTTATCTAGTAGTAGGTATAAATTACGAACGATCGGATTTTAGAAACTGTTCTGTTAGAAAGGAACAATTGTGACAATGAATATTAGATGTATATGATATTTCTTTCTTTCATAGACATCCGCTATATAAAGTCCGAGATAGCTTTAAGCATATTTTTACAGTTCATTTTAATTTTTTTTTCTAAAATGTTTAAACTTTGTATTTTTTAATTTTAGCTTGTCATGCAGTTTTTATATAATGGAGGATGTGATGGCCTTGAAGTTGATCAAAATGATGTTTTGGAGCTAATGGCAGCTGCTAACTTTTTTCAGTTAGATGGGCTATTGAGATTTTGTGAAGCACAGTGTTCAAACATGGTCGACCTTGATAATATAGTTTCAATGTATATCCATGCCAAGGTATTATAAAGTATTTTTATTTTTGTTTGGATGTAAAAGTTTTTTTTTCTGTACAGTTAAACTATTATTATAACCATTTTAGTTGAAAACCTTATGAAAATTATTCAGAGATTTTTATTAGTAATCAAACTTGACTACTTTTCAGGTGAAATATCTTTTAATTAAAAAAAAAAACATTTTTCTTAAAACAATCTGATCTCTGTTTCTGCATTATTTACTTAATATTTCGTGGATGTAAGTTTTGAAGCTGAATGAGCTAGGTACTGGCACGCCGTGAGGTAGAGGTGTCTCCACTTTCATCATATAGCTCCATCCCTACCACGTTTCTATAATACTAATTATCTCTGCAATTATACACCAGAAAAATGAGAGACATTTTGTATTTTTATGGTTAAAATCTAATCTTCTTCAAAGAATAAAAATTAAAAATTGATGCAAGTTGACAATTAACAGATTTCTCAGTAAAGGATTCATCAATATCTTTAAAAACTTCACAAACTAAATTATAATACAGTTTTTTATAATTTTACAAAAATATCTAAATTCTGGCTTAACATTTTTTCCAGTTAATTCCGTATTATGGAATTTTTTACAGCTTTAAATCATTTGGTTTTAAGTGAGAAACATGGTTAACTCAGTTCCATCTTAGTATTTTTCTGCCCATTTGGGTGGGTCCCCAATTGGCCGTTTCTTATATTTTTAACACCTGCCCTGGACTTGGGATGTTTGGTTAATCAAAATTGGAACCCTCTCTCTCTAGATCTTCTGTTTATACCAATCAATTGGTTCTCCATCATCGATTTTTCTAATTACCTTCTCTTGTAGTTCAACCAAGATGATGAATCTTATTTCCCATATATCTAATCATATGAATCTTATATCTAACTAGCTGGTCCGTGCAAATAATTCGCATAAAATATTAGTGAGAGAAAAACTGATAGAATAGTATATGGATATGTTAATGCAATGTATTATGAGGTGGAAGAATTCATTTTCCTTTTGTTGGTCAAAATATTTAATTCATAAAAATAAACCAAAACATTTGTACCATTTACTGTAGTCTATATCTTTGCTCATAATGATCCTGTTTCGATATTTTTTTTCTTTACTTTGTAGGAAATTTTGTAACCTTTTAATTATTCATGGAGTTAATCCACCGTAAATTGCATACCTTTACTGTTATGGCTAAATTAAGTGTTTGTTTTTCTGAGATGTTGGGTGTTATGTTTAGACAATCTTTAAAATGATGGTTCGATAATTGGAACTAACGAAGATATGGCGAAATAAAACAGCAGGGAAAAAAAATATATAGTTTATTGTATTTATTTATGAAATGGTTATATAGTTGTGTTTTTTTAATTTAAAGACGCCTTGGCCCCGGGACGCGAACTCATGACTATTTTTGTATCATTTATCATATATCAGGTTGCCGGGTGGTGCTGTGCACAATGCGTTAGCCTATTCGGTCACCCCGCCCACGAAAATCCACTTTACTCCAATTTTCTTTATAGGCACAACGCTCAGTCTAGATATGCATCACCGTGATATTTACCACGCAGGAAAGAAACTCAAGAGATGCCCCCTTTGTCAATAGGTGTTCATGTGTTAGCCTTGAGTGTCCGATTCATAGTTTTGCTAGTCTGATCTCTTTTATTCTTTTCAACTGCTGGTGCATTCCATTTGTAACCACAGAGGGCTGGAAATTGTAATTTTTCATAAGAATCAAAATCCATGACAACAGTGGCATCAAGATTTCCTATCGCGGGTATGAGGTTGGGCTCAAACAGAAACTGAAAAACTGTACATTTTAGGGCTTTAAAACACAGTTACTTAATCTTAAAAATTGTCAGAGTTATCCTTTACTACACGAAAATCAGAGATTATGAAAGCAGTTTTCGAAAATGGTACGTGTCAAAATGATAATTAATACTTTATAACACTTCTTTGAAAACAATATTAGAAGCAATAATATATAAATTACAATAGGCTGTATCTTTGTATATAATAGTCCGATTTCCATGTTGTTGTTTTTATTTTATAGGGAATTAGCAAATTTTCAAATAATAATGGGTCTAATCCAGAAAAAATGTATACTTTTTATTTAAATCGCAAATAAATTTACTTTTCATCCATAACTTTTTTCCCTGTAATTTCGGGTGGATGTTACTGTAATTCACTGCTCCATTTTATACCCTTTCTTTTGATACCTCATTCATCAAAATACATCGCTCCTAAGAGCCGGAAAAGGGATCGTTAAGGCAAAAAACTGTCTTATTATATTATGAGATATTCCACAAATTATTGAATCTTATTTAGGCGTAATGATAATAATTGTTAATCATTTGTATAAAATAAATATTAAAAACCTGGTGTCTCACGCCTTCTCTTACCACCCTCTTCTTAGCAGAAATAAGTATTTTCAAACAAAGGGGAAGTGAAAGTAAAATTAACTATACAATTAAATATTAAATAATACCAACAATAGCATTTATGAAAACCGCATATGTATATTTACATAATATTGTCGGAGTCCGTATTATATTAAGCTCATGTTACATATAGAAACATGTTTTAATCTTTCGGACGGATGCGTTCGTGTTCCTTTGATTCCTCAATTACAACTATTCTCCATTACAATCTTTTATTTCTCCTTTAGTTAATTATCAAATTCTTTCATACTTTATATTTAACTACCTTTTATATTAGAGATTAATGTGAAATGGTCAATTGTTTAAAATAAAAAAAATTAAAGGTACTTTAGAGGAAGCCAATATTGAAAATTAGCCATTTAAGCCCTGATAGAGAACATCAATGAGAATAAAAGCTACATTATATTTAAAAGTGCTTAATAATACACTGATATAATGAGTTTAATCAAAATTGTTTGAGCCGTTTTTGAGAAAATTGTAAAAACGTGTTAAATCGATTATATGAAGTACCACTTCTGGTTGGCTGATTTTGACAAAAATGTTGCTGTAACATCAAAAGCTTATAAAAACCTTAAATATACAATTTCACTTTCGTACGACTTTTCGTTTTTGAGCTAGACTGATATATATATACACACACACACACACACAAAGACCATTTATTGGGATTTGGTTATTTGGACTCAGGAGTCCTCAAAACATGTATTTCCGTTAAAAATTCAAACTCCAAAATTTTCACGATCTCAACACCCTACTTACCCTTACTATATATCGCATATAAAGGTAAGCGAAAGTAAAAATAGCAGTACTTTAGATTATTTCATACTTTATCCTTTGTATTAATGAATAAATAAAAATGTTATTAAAAATATTTATAATTCTATTTTTTTTTTGTTATTATTATTTGTTTTTTATTTAGGTTTATAATGCTTGTCAGTTGTTGGAGTATTGTCAGGGATTCTTGCTTCAGAACATGGTTGCTCTATTGACGTATGATGATTCTGTCAAAAGACTGCTTTTTGGAAAGAAACTTCATAATCATGATGTTCTTGCCGGACTCCTTCTTACACTTCAGTCTCGTATCAAAGCCAGGAATAATGTGTTGAGACCAGGTCCAAAACCTAAATCATAATTTTTTCTTTTTAATATTAATGAATTTAAAAGAAACATGACTATGTTGGTTACTGGCTACTTAAGTGCATACAATTTGTGTGTGTTATAAATTGTTTATTGAGTTAATGAGGTGCTAATAAAAAGTACTATATGTGTTGAGCGTTCTTACCATTTTAATGTTAAATGGCCCTATTACATTTTTAAAATTGTAATTTTCAATACTCCTTCCATTATTAATGCACAAATCTCTTTTCAACTGAATCTATTAAAAATTATAATTTTAAAAATAAATAAGGAAATGAAATAAAATAAGTGAAAAGAAATATTACACTAACTGAACCGTTCGTTGTGTTAAAATTCCTTTTTCAAATATAGCATAACTCTCTAAGCCTTGTGTGAATTTTAATTTAGATATTAGACTATTATAGTATTGGTGTTTACTGTTTTACATCATATGAAACTTATAAAATGCAATTTGTTTTTTTTCATTTGTAATTGATGAAAGTGCTCATTCACAGTATTAAATCATTATTGGTTTCTAAAAAAAAGAATTTATATATCATTGAAGATATTATAAATAATTATATTAACATCATAAAATGTTACATCTGTTGTTTGTTTAAGTTATCAATAATGTTTAAACTATTGAATTATATACTTAAATACCTTAAATACTCAAAATAGGGCTGTGATCGGATTTGTGTTATATAGCTTGTAGCTAAATCTATTGTATATATATTAAAAAGAAAAATGTGTGGCATCTGTGTTTTATTTTGTTTTATTTGTCTACAATTTTTTTTTTTTCATTTATACAATTTTCTTCATGCGTAAGATCTTATGAACTCATTAAAATAACTAAGTATATTAGTCATAAGCTTCACTTGAGAATTTCTATACTATAGATACTTTAGATACCTTTTATCTTTTGTCCCATTGAAAAAAAAATATATCTCATATTATATATCTCTCATATCTCAAAAACCTTAAATAGTTAAAGCGAAACAGACAGGTTTTATTTCTTTAGTGATTTTCTGTTATTTGAAAATAAAATATGCCCTTCTTTCTTAGAAATAAAGTTGGATGGATGGCAAATATTATTTATTGAAGGGATTTAGTCGATTGTTCTACATATTATGGATGATAAATAGTCAGGACGCAGCCATTTTTAAGGTTTTTTATTGGTGCTGATGTTTCAATCCAAGCATGGGGAGTCATCATCAGGGCGTGTTTTCAGCACTATGTAAAGTATTTGAACATCTGCAGTGCTTGGAAAACGCCCTGATGATGAGCCACAAGCTTGGGTTGAAACGTTGGCACCAATAAAAAAAACCTTAAAAATGACTGCATGTTTACTTTATTATCCACAAATATTATTTAGCAGAAAAGCCTAAAAATAAAAAACTATACATCATTTAGAAAGATTCCATTATCAATTTCTTTATGAATTTGACAAAAATGTCTGAATTTTTTCAGTTTTCTGTTCTCCAACAAATAAAATTGTTATCTTTCTAGAGCTTGTTCACATTCAGATTTTTTTTTTTTGCCTTTTAATTGCCTGGTATTTATAAAAAAAAATTAAATAAACTTTTAATAAAACTTTTTTTTATTCCTGGGCAATAATAGTTTTATGTATATACTTAGTGATTAACTTAATTTCTTAATTGTTCATTATTTTCTGTTTTTAAGGACATGCCAGTCTTTTCCTCTTCAATTTTGCTATCTGACAAGATTCAGTGTGATTTTTGATGGATGAATCATTGTTTATAAACATTGATTTGTTTTTCCACTGTCTTTAGAACATGGACTAATCTGAGAACAGTAATATAATTATGAATAGTATCGAGAAATAAAACTTGAAAAGATTGATTACTAGGAAAAGACGGTCAGAAATTATTAAAAAAAAAAAAAATGAAGGAAATACTAATTGGAAGGTATATTGTATTAAATCAAATGATGAAACTTTTTATTGATAGTGAAGGACCCTATAAGTAAGAATAACTTAGAGAACAGATTTTTTTAAAGTCAAATACCAAGGGTTTTTTTTCTATTGACCAGTAGTTTTTATACATTACTAAATATGAATTATTGAAATAGGAATTACAAGGATTTCACTATATTTAAAGTTGTCAATATTTTTTAGTTTAAATTGCAGATAATATCATTATATTAGGATTTTTTTTTCTAAGTTTTTAATTGAGTTGATAAGTATTTTTCTAACTAAAATTATTAAAAAAAGATTACTATATAATATCTGAGCCAAATGAAAATAGTTAACTACAAGTAAACTTGGATAAGTGAAATTTGATAAGGCTATTATACCTACAGATATAATACTTATAAAAAAAAGAAATTTAATTAATAATGTAAATGAATACTTTTGTTGAGAGGAATATTTGGCAGTGATAAAATAATTTAATATAATGCTATTGAATATTTCATAAATTAAATTAATTATTATTGTTGAATCTTAAACGTTTCTATTAGGGATTTCAACTTTTGTGATAGTTTATTGGGATGCAGTTTAGGAAATTTTGTGAAAGACATCTAATTTGAGGCTTTCTGGAAATATTCAACTATAAAGGTATAAAAAAAGTAGTTTCATTACAGACATAGATTTTCCATCTATTCCTTATAAAGAGCTAACAAATATTCAAGGAGATTAGTTTCTTTATATTATAAAAATAACAATTCAATAAGATGTTTTAAAGAACACTTATAGCAGTATTCCACATATTCAGGTTTAGTAATTACTTAATGAATTTTTTGTCTAGGCCTAGAAATTATGTCTTTTAGCTGTTTCCTTGATTCTTATATTTTTTGTATAGCATTGCAATTGTATATTATTATTCGCTGATTATATTAATTTGCTCACAATTAGTTAAAAAAATATTACCTTAAAATACTCATAAGCATTTGTATTATAATTTGTTTTTTAAAAAATGTTCATATTTTTGAAATTTTTGTTTTTTATCTATATAGTTTCTATATTTCCTTATTTATATTGTTTCATATTTTCTATTTAAGACTTTGTGCAATGATTTAAATTGCTGAGGCTTTCTATAGCAGCAGTTCTCAAACTTTTTGTTGTGGCACCTTTTTGGCACTAAAAATAATTCGTGGCACAGTTATGCTTAAAGTGTTATATAACAGAACCTTCATCCATTCATAAATTCATCGTTGATGCAATTATATAAACCAAATAAAATTGTTGCCAAATATCTTAAATTTGATTGATTTTAATTTTGTTATTTATAAATTTAAAATTATGAATTTTTAGAATGGTTATTCACCAAATAACAATTTTGGCCTTAAATGCTAAATATTGAGATTAAATATCATTGGTGCTGCACTCTTTGCATATCCTTGCAGCACCCTAGAATGCCGCATCACCCACTTCCATATTTTAAGAAACCATACATTTGGAACATGCATAAATTTCTTTTAGAATCCTTTTATATATATATATATATATATATATATATATATATATATATATATATATATATATATATATACTTACATATAAATGTTATATTATAATTTTAAAATTACAATCTAAAAGAAAAATATATTCTTTTTGTAAATCTTATTCATGACTGACATTGAAAATAATCAATGTGATTTAGTATAGTTTTTATGGCAATATATTATCTTAGTTATAAATATGTTTAGTTTAGTTATATTCATTTTGTAAAAATATTGATAATATTGTTTTATTTTGCCATTTATTTTTACATGGAAAGCAATATTGTTCCTAATAAATTACATTACCATTATAAATATTTATAAGTTTTTGAGATTATAAAAGATATTTTATTTGTGTCAATGCAGAAGTAATATTGAATTCTGGTGATGAACTAATTGTAATTGTTAAATTTTCTAACCTGAATTGTTTTAGATTGAAAATAATTAATTATAAGTTAATGATTGTTATGAACAAGAGTTGAAATCAGTATTATTATGATTATGTAATAAGAATTATACAATTGTTAATGATCATAATTTGGTTTTGTGCTATTCATTCTTCTGAAAATTGCAAAACATTTTTCTAAGTTATTTTTTCTCTATATGTGTATGGAGTCAATTAGAAAGTATATTTCTGCAAGACATAGCATATGCTGCTCAGTTTTAAACTTTCAGATCTTTAGAAAATCATCCAAAGTTTTGAAAAGGTAATCTGTCTCTGGTTAGTTGTTGAACAGAATATTTAAGCCTAAATTTCAAAAGCTAAATGTTTTAACTGTGGTACTTGCAATGGAGAATTACATAATTCACTAGCATAGTTTGACATGGTTGTTACTGGTCTAACCTTAACAAGTTAACGAAAACCAAATTTTAAAATTTCAGGTGCCAACACTTTATCTTTATTAATAAAAATGTATTGATTATGTCCTCTGTTTTATAGATGGCAATAATTCAACTGTTGAAGATGGTTTGTAACAAATAATATTCACTTATGATTTTATTTAAAATGTGTCAAATTGATGTTACAACAATGCCTTAGACAGTGAATAAAAATAGAACTGACAAAGGTATAAGTGAAGTAACAATTTTTTTAAACTCACCATTTCGTACCAATAGTCTCAGTTTAGCCAAAAATATTCGTTAAAATCTTGTCAAACCAAGCTGGTGAATTTCAGATGAATACTGGTTCGTGCTTAAACTTCTAAATTAAACGTGCTTAAACAATATTTAACTACTAGTGAATAAGTTGATATTATACATTTCATATTTTACTAACTCAATTCCCTAAACTGACAGAAATATGACCATATATCACTTGAAACATTTTTTTTTCTTTTTCATGAAAAACAAAAGAAACGAAGTTTGGCCTATATTGTTAAAAATATTTTTTCGTTTTCAGAAATATAAAAATTTTAAAAATCAACTCCTGTTCAAAACAAATATATATATAAATGTGTGTATAAACAAAAATATTGAAATGTGCCAAATGTATTTTCATTGAAACAATTATTGTTATAAATACTTCTATTAAAAAAAGTATTGATAATTTATTTTATCAATGTTAAGAGTATTTAAAAATGAGCAGTTGCCAATTGTATAAAACAAGTGCTATTAACCAGAATGGAACATTAAATGTGCCAAACTACATATATCTCATTAATGGATTGTAAATAATTCTGTATCATTACTTGCCAGTTAATGTTAATGTGTATATCTATACTATAGTGTTCTGTGTATATACAGTTATTTGGTATATTGGGAATAAATTTAGTGCTGAATTGTAAATTCTTCACAAAGTAACCAGAGGTACATTCCATTTATTTAACAAGTATACTTTGTGCCAAGTTGTACTTCATTTTATAAAATGTGAAAAAAAGTATATATAAAAAATGTGCCAATCAGTTAAGTTGGTTGAATACAATTGTAAAGAAGCACTGGTACCCAAATTTATTTATTTAAAAATTTTATTTATTGTTCAAAATAGAATGTATATTTTATTACTTAAAATAAGACTTTTGTACTTTTTTAATTGTTAAAGAAAAAATAAATATATCATCTTGAAATTTACTCCTCAATTTTTATGTGTTAAATATTCGAGTAAATATGTTTGCATACCTTGTAATACCTCTTGTAATAGATTTCTGCTGCTACTAAATAACTTGGAGGTCTTCTTGGTCACCCTTATTAGAGGCATTCATAAGTTTTACAGCGTTGTATATATATCCTTTCTAACAGTCAGAATATATGGTGCTTCTCTGTCCTTTATTTTTACCATGAAACACTCGTCTGTTTCTCGGCAAACTATACCAAGCATCCATGTTGTACACCAGCAGCATTTATCTTTTAGAAAAAAGACTCTCGTCTATTTCAACCACTTTTCCAGGCCCTCCAATATTTTTAATTGATTTGTTTAACATGCTATAGGCACAAGCTTCTCTTAAAAATCTGTTCCACATGACAACACTTTTGTTGGATAGTTTCAGCTACTCTTTGTCCCACCAGCCATAAATACATTTTAAAGCAGTTAAAAAGGGAATCCTTGACGCTTGTTTTCTTATTGATACATTTTTAAGGTCATGTGAGAGGATAGGAATGGAATGGGAATATTGGAAAGAAAATCAAAGATTATGTGCTGAATCACATGGCAGGACCAGCATGTGTAATGGGTAGAAAAGGAAAAGGAACAATAAAAAGATGAAAGAAAAAAAAGTTTTCCAGGTAAAGTCTGACTTCCGATTCAGAAAGTAGATTGGGATTAAAATCGCAGGAAGTTATTATATTATTGTTAAAAGGAGCATTATTACAGAGAGTTGAGTCAAATGAAGAGTCAAAAGGAACCAAAGGAGGACAGTGAACACAACATAAAGGAGAGGAAGTACTTTACAGAAAATTTCAATGAAAAGGGATTGAATGTGAAATATGATTTCACTTTGAATATTTATTGATTGGATAGGGGTAAAATTTCAAGGATTTCAGGTTATTCTGGATATAATGATGTACTCCTTCCCCTTCCACCTGTACGGTCTAAGATATATTTGGGTAAATATTTCCTATATTAAAGAAATATTTCCCATCTGGATTACTAACATTATGTATGGAAAGAGCCTTTGTAAACAGAATGTTTCAAGTGATACCACCACTTGTTATCTAGTAAAACTCTAATAATAATTTTATAAGATAAAAAAAAAACTATTTGAATAATCTCAGAAATAATTTAATACAGGATATAATTTATGGTGGACTCGCCAATGGAAACAATTTATAAATAAATAATTATTTTAATTTAACAATATAGATGTGATCAATAAACAGAATGCCTCTTTATGAAAAGTATTTTTAATTTTTACTTTGATAAAAATACAATATACTATTTACAGTGATTGTATCTATAAGAAGTTAAACATAGAATGTGTGAAAAGAATAATTATGTTTATAAAAAGTTATAATGCCAGTTTAATATAACCTTTTTAAAAGGAATGATATACTTCAAATATATAACAAATTTTATAATTTACATAAATATGATAGATAATTATAATTACAAATACTTCATATCAAATTATATGTAAGTTCAGATCATAATAATGACAAGTTTTCATTACATAAAATCAGTTATTTTATCTTGACAATGATAAGGCTATTATTAAAGCCAATATTATTCCAGCTGTTACTGATATACCCAGAAGAATACATGTTTTCTTTCTCCTCCTTGACTGAAAAAAAAATATATATATATATTAATTGTAAAAAAAAATGTTTATCTTTGTCATAATTCAATTCAATAATCGGTTATCAAATTATTGTATACATCATTTATTACCACAAACTATTCACCTATCCACTTGCTGCAATAAAAAATCACAATCTTTAATTTGATACCACAGATTGCAACAATGTTTACATTTAACTGGTGAAGTATCATTTCTTATACCCCACTGCGAATCATGCAATTCTAGTTGCGTTGTTTGATTAAAATTTTGTTTTTATTGAGACTAACTACCATATTCATACAATACAAGTAAATATGAAGTAAGAATATCAAGAAAGAATATTCACTTGATTAATTTGATAAAATAATGAATTATGTCACGAAAACTAGCCCATCGAACATGTGATTAGCTTTAAACTAAAGCTGATAGTTAAAACTTAACTATTCTCTTATGCCTCAAAGAAGACGAAAATTTCGAGTTAACATAAAATCCTTACTAATGATTTACATCACAGAAAATGTAGTAGTAGATACCACGAATCTTACACATAAGACGACCTATGTCTTGACAATTTTACAGAAAATAAACTTGAATTAAGATTAAATTTGGTTAATAATTATATATTATTCATTTATATAGAAAGATTATACGTATTTTAAAATTTTATTTTGTTATATTATAATTTTTCTTAAATGTAACACTTGAGGTTTAATCCTCAGGTAAAATAAGAAAGATATGAAGAATAAATATGAAAATATATTAATGATTGTTATAAACCACTTTCTTGTTACAGTAACTTTATCAATTCTAATCACTGGTGGTCATTCCTTTCCCTTCTTGTCCCCTTTTGTACAGGGTATATTAAAAAAAAACTGTTTCACTCCCCATTTTTTCCATTCCAATAAGGGTAAAACAAAATTAGCAATGTTAAATATTGTAAGTTATGGAGAAAATTAGCCCCAAAACTCTTCAAATTCAAAAATATATTTATAATCAATATTAAAAGATTTATTAACTAGACCAAAATTGGGTTAGAGAAAATATATGTAATGGATAAACAATTTGGTAAAACTCCAAAAAGGTTTGGTTTTAGTTCATAGTAGTTCTATATTAATTTATAATTAATAAAACAGTGTTATTTTCATGTGGTTTAGTTAATTCTGCTTTTGCAAAAATCTATTTTAGTATTTAAATATAAAAATCTGGTGCAGTGCACCACGCATCACACAACTTTCACTTACCACCCTCTTAGCAGAAATAAGTATTTTCAGACAAAGGGGAAGAGAAAGTAAAAAATATAGACTCTATATTTATTTATATTTCATTGTGGATATTTTTATGTGTAAAAGTACCTTGATATATACAAATTACAACTATTCTCCGTTACGATCTTTTATTTCTCCTTTAGTTAATTATCAAATTCTTTCATATTGTATATTTAACTATCTTTTATATTAGAGATTAATGTGAAATGGTCAATTGTTTCAACATAAAAAAAAATTAAAGGTACTTTAAGGGGAAGCTTATATTGAAAATTAGCCATTTAAGCCCTGTTAGAGAATATCAATCTGAATAAAAACACCAACAACTGCTTAATTTTACATTAATAAAATGAATTTAATCAAAATCGTTAGAGCAGTTTTCGATAAAATTGTAAAAATGTGTTTAATCCATGATATAAAGTGCCACTTCTGGTTAGCCGATTTTGACGAAAAAGTTACTGTAACATTCCTAGCTTATAAAAACCTTATAAGCTAAAAATATACAATTTTACTTTCATACGACTTTTAGTTTTTGAGTTAGACTGTTAACACACACAGACATAAACACACACAAACCATTTTGCGGGACTTGGTTATTTGGACTCAGGGGAGCTCAAAACATGTATTTTCTTTGAAAACTGAGATTCGAAAATTTTCATTATCGTAATAATTTCCTGTACTATATATTTCATATAAAAGGACATATGTTGGTATGTGGTATTGTATATTTGATGTTCAATTAAAACATTTGTACAGAGATTAAACATTTTTCAAAAGTTTCTTATGATTATTTAATTTGTGATTCACAAAATCTGCAAAGCATCATCAAGATATCATTTGTTTCGAAAACTAAAATAATACTTTTTTATTAATTGAAAATTAATATAAAACAAGTATCAGCTATAATTAAATGTTTCTGAGCTTAGCCAATTTTTCTGTTATGCATGTCATCAGAAATGCATTTACGCCATCTTTGAGACATAAGAGAATAGTTAAAACATAAACTAATTGTTGTTTGATCGGCTGGTTATTCATAATGTAATTCAGGTACTAGTTTACATGGATTAGGCGTGGTTCACAATCACTTCGATCATACTTGCCGAAAACAGTCGAATGTTGACAAACGTTATGACAGCCTTTGTCATAATCACGTTTTCCTTAGACGCATTTTTGAAAAACCGAGGTATTCCTATTGTAGAACTTCCTTATTAACAATTTATTAATGAATTATTTATTGAAAATTTCTTAATTATAACATAAATTGCTATGGAAGAAAAATATATAAAATGATGGTTGAGTCCTTCTTTAAGGTCTGTTAAAAAAAAAAAAAAAAAATACTTTTAGGATTAAAATTTTCATTGACACGTGCCTTCATGTAGCTGTAAATATATATATATACTATTGTATATTGTATACAGACCCAGAACAAACATTGTTACTGAATTTCATTATAAAGTTACAAAAATTCGATTCACAATAACGTATTCACAAATCCGATAGTATTTTGATAAAAAGCGTCCCTGCCAACATAAGAGTGGACTCCAAAAAGTTGAAGAAATCCAAAAAGTTAGGAAAAATTAATTTTCTTATTTTAATCGCTATTATTTTTATTGAATGAATTAGCTGTGTAATTATTGTTAATGATAGTTATTTTCCTTAAAAATTCAAAAATGGGGACTGATTGTAGTCATTCCTAAAAATAAATAAATTGTGTTTATTTGGATGTTTATTTTTGAGGAAGGAATGAACGTGTTGGGGAAACAGCTGACAAAAAATATCTGAAAATTTCAACTTAATGAATAATGAAAATTATCAATAAGAAAAATAAATATCGTGAAATACGATTCTATTACTATTACTTATTTACAGGTTTTTATCTATTACCATTATTATTTCTTTTCCACATTACTATATCTATATAAATAAGTTCAATAAAGATTAAGTGATGTAGACTAAATGTTGAATATAAGTCGGCTCATGCTGTTTAACTGCACATGGTTAAGGGTACCAAAGTATTTAATAGGTGGGAAAGTTATTAGTAAACGACTCAAGAAATCGGTCGTCTTTGTTCTCTTTTGGATAAACCTAGAATGATTCGGCACTCCATGCACAAGTGTAGCCAAAGTGATTATGAACCAGGTGTAATCCGTGCGGAACTCATGTGAAAGTACCGCAATTCATTATTATCTCTCATTAATTATCTCTTGGGTGATTATTATTATTATTATTATTGGGTGGTTATGGGTGATATTATTACAGACAGAAATGCATTTCTGTGCTGAGTGTGGTTGAAAATAATTTTTAAAATTTGCAGATGTCTATTTAATGAGCTGGATTTTATGCCTCGGGCTCTTGGACTAGTATTGTTGCAGAAAATGAGGAATATGTAAAAATTATTATTTATTTTTATCTATGAAGTACAAGATATTGTTAGCATTATTTTGGTATACTTATATGATTATTTTATAATCATATTTTTTTTTCATTGATTTACATCTTTTAAAAGAAATAAGAACCAATTTAATTTTCTATGGTAGTTATTTTTTTCTTTATAAAGATGTTCCTATGCAACTGCATATTCAGAAGTTAACAACTTCTTAAAAAAAAAAACCTGTACCGCTAACAACCCATGAGGGATATTGGGTTCAAAACAATGTGAGGAAGTACAGTTACAAGGCCAACATTACAAAAAACATTGCAGGAGGTGATCGGGCCGAGATTTTCAACCGCCAGGTTTTCCCTCTTAATTAATTATTTAATTAAGAGTACCAACTTTATAGAGGCTGGGTGTGCACCGGGATCGCCCACATCAAATTTCTAAAAACATTGAATTTTTCAAACTAAAATGTAGTGTACATGACTAAACTAGAGGAATTTAATAAATATGCCATCGTACCATAGATATTCTGACATTTTTTAGTTTTGAGCAATTCTGAAGGTATTGAAAAAAATAATGATGTGTCTAGAAATAAACTTCAGATTTAAAAAAAAAAGAAAGTAATTTTCTTTTCTTTTATTGATTTTAAGATAAAGTCATTTTCATATAATTATCAATATTAAAGAAAATCATAAAATAAAAGCTGATATTTTAATACTTTAAATCTGTTTATAGTTAAATATTCTTTTACAACATAATACAGAAATACAACAGGCAAAAATAATTTTCACCTGATACATAGCAGCTTTCTCTAATTCACTATGTCCATCTTCAACTGCACCGTAAGCTGATTCAATAGCATTCTCAATAGAATCTAGAACATAGGCATGAAATTATTATAAAATATACAGAATAATAATTAATACAAAACAAATGAAATATTAAAAAAAAATAACAAGCTGAAAAATAAAATTAAAACAAAATTTTAAATTAAGAAACAAACAAAATTAATGACAGCATATGAAAGTTTGGTGAGAAAGCAATGAATTTAATTTTTGTTGCAAGGAGGCCTTCATTGGACATGAGAATCTCATCAATCTTCTGACGTGCAACATATTTTCAAACATAATTTATATTGGAACTGGATTGTTCTTCCTCTGTGTTGTCATTTCATGTTAACTTTCAAGCGATGCCGCTAAAATCTGAATCATGGCTATATATGAGATTTCATTGTTTTTTCACTGAATCCTTCATAGGACTGTCTCAAAGGTAATTGAAACTTGTTAAATAAATGTTTGACCTATCCAAAATTTGAAACAAATTCTTTTTAGAGAAAAGAAATAAATTCTAACCATCTCAGTTTAATTAAATAAGCAAGAGCTTTTCAAATAAATTACAATCTATTAATTATGAGCAATATCAGCTATCTCAATGTCAATTTGATTACAAAATAAATTTAATGTTTTAAATATAAGCCGAACAATTGAATAAAATAACAAAAACAATTGTGACCACTTCAAACTGAAAGTGACCTACCTACTCCTTAGTCTAGATGAGAGCTATAAATCATGTAAAAAGTATCAAAATATAAAATTACACCTCGTCCTGTCATAAATATTGTTACAATGAAATATATACAGATTTCAAAGAAAAATTAATTTTTTCAAAAACTTTATAGAAAATAAAATGTATATCTATAGAGGGTAAAACAAAAAATAAATTACTCAAACTGTCCCCCAATTGCTTTGACATAGGCATTTAATCTCCATGGCCATTCATCAATAGCAGCACACAGCACTTCTTGAGGAAAATGCTCAACTGCTCAGACTAGAAATTTTTTTTATGCTTTCCAAGTTAGAGTGTGCTCTGTGGCATGCCATCCTCTCCAGTTCGGACAAAGGCGAAAATCTAGTTGGTTGAGATCAGGGCTTTCTAAAGGCCAATCCTAAGGAGAGATTTGAAATGAACTCTGGAATGTTCTTTTACAGCCAAAGCTGGGTTGACCTGGCCTTGTGAGCTGAAGCGGAATCCTGCTGCAAAACCTAATGACTTCCAGCAAACAGAGTATCATTTAGAGGCTTGACAACAGGTTTCAAAATATCATCCTGATATTTTTTAGCAGCTTTTTCACAAAAATGAAGCTTTGTAGTGCCATAAAAATCAGCAATAACCCCTCTTTCCACTCTTCCAATGACTTCCTGGGCTTCTTTAGAGCTGTCTGTGTACACACGATCATTTTGGTGATTAAATTTTTCTTTAATTGTAAAAATTTTCTTATCACTAAACAAAATCTTTCGATGAAGACCATTGGTGTAATGGCCAAGGAGCACTTTGCATCTACCCACTCTAATTTTTTTAAAGGAAGTGGTTAGCCTCTGTCCTGTCATTCTTCAAAATGCCCCATCCTAAGGTGCACCCATCTGACAGAGATTCACATTTCCGAGACATGATTTGTTGTTTTCGAATGGAGCAGCCACTGCTCTCACTGCATTTACTGTTCTCACAGTGCTGAGACCGCCCGGTCGAAGTCTATCACATACACACAGGGTCTCATTATATCTATTTATAGCGTGATACATGAACATACGTCTGACACCCAAAGGTTTTAAATTGTTGAAAATCTCTGATCTAAATTTTCCAACTTTATGAAAGGAAATCACAGCTATTCGGTTTTCTTTATCACCCCACTCCATGTTAACTAAGCAAAAGAAAATAACCTGATAAAGATAACGATTATCACAGAAATACCTGCAAAATTGCATTAGAAATACATTACCTGAGTGTTGATATAAAATGTAGACTTTTATTAGACAAAAGAAAAAAGAGGGGGTAGCAAAGTTATGATTAACCCTTCCGGCAAAAATTCTAGTTCTTGCCCATTTGTGGGTTAACATCTTCTTTTGTTATTTTGGTTAAAAGTTAAACTTAAACTTAATTCAGGCTTTAATAAGTATTAAAGAGCAAATAGATAAAAACAAATAAGTTTTCATTTTTAACATCAATTGATGCTATAATATCAATCGACTTCCACATATTAAGCATATTTGCTAAAAAATGTATGTGTTCATAATACAAGTTAAACTATATAAGTTCAAATTACAGATTTAACCTATATCTAAGTGAAGCAATAATCCCAGACACCAATTACTTTTTTCACACTTAAATCTCCAAACATATAATTTTCCTCTATTCTACATTCATACTTTTTATTATCAGGATAAAATTATGTCAAAGGGTGAAAATTCAAGTCAGGGATATACAAAGGTCTAAAAGATCAAAACCAGAATTTCTAAATTACTCAAGGATTAAGACAACCTTGTTGTTGGTGAGTTAGTCTAAACTGCAGCTCAATAAAGAAAAAATGAAGGTGGTCAAAAAGGAAAGAAATAATGATGAAGTGTGTGATAAAATGAGGAGAAGAAAAGAATTTTTGTTAAAGAACAAAACATTGTATAATTAATAAAACAATTACTACCATTGAGTAGTATTCTATATACAAATATATTTTAAGAAAATATATTAGAAATGATGTTTTTATAAGACTAATGCTTTGTTTTTTTAAAAAGAAAAAAAAAAACTTTGAAAATGGCTCTTGCAGCCAAAAACTTAAAAAATAATTTTTAAATGTTTGTAAAAATGTTTTAAATGTAAAATAAAAAGGCTGTGAGATCAAAAAGGATTTTGGTATATAAATAATCATATATAGATTAAATATAATAAAATATTTTATTTATCAAGAAGCAGAAAAATCAACAGTTTAGAAAAAAAAGTGGAATTTCCAACTAAAGATATGTATTTGTGTTGGGTGAGATAAACAAGTAGACAACACTTTGGAAACAGTATAGAGCTCAGTTAGGTAACACTCCAGCAAAGTGCCTTAAAATACATCACAAACTATATCTTTGCAATTTGAAACATTAAATGAAGACTATAAGAAAACTGTAATCTAAAGACCTCAAGAAAATCTTCAACTAAAAAAAAATAATCTTTAACTCACTTATATCATCAGCCTGCTGATTCACCATTGCTCCTAATTCATTCATGATCTGATTTATATCTAATATACAGCTTTCAATATTTTGGATTCTCTGTTCTCGTTCCAATAATAAACCTTGTTCAAATTCCATCTGATTAGCAATAACCTTTTGCAAATTCGGATCTGCTTGAGAGCCATTGGAGACTTTCCCTTGAGAAATGTCATCAAGAATTGCATGTTCTGAAGGTAGAAGGTGTGTTTTCATTTTCTCAGCAACTTGCTAAACATTAAAAATTAAATTAAATATAATAATAATTAAAATAATTATGAAAACAATCGAACATATACAAACCTTTTGTGTTTTGCTATATAATTTGACAGCATCTTTGAAGTTGTTCATCAAAATCTCAACTTGCAATTTTTGCTGTTTATCTTTTTTTTTAACTATTCCAGTAAGCTTATTTAGATCTTTTGTAGTTTGGTCAACAACTTCATTAGCACTAACTAATTTTGAATGTCTAAAAAAAATATGGATGAAAATAATGTTAGAGATGCATAAAAACTAACTAAAAAATGATGTTTCAACCTATGTAAGTTCTAATAATTTCCAAAACTGTTACAAGACATAATTATTCCATTATTCTTAATGGAACTCAGGGGTTCTGTAAATGATAGTACATGGTTTGAGGGTTGATGGTGTTTATCTTAATCAAAATTATCAATAACTGAAGAAGACCATCACAAGTATTGTTGAACAAATTTATTTTAATAAAATAATTTTTGCCTAGTATCTAATGTCTACCATGCTTGCCTGTAGTTGCTTATGTTCCTCATCAAAAATAGTTTAATGTTTATAGCAATAACATGATTTGTTGCACAGTCCTTTTATATATAAGATATGTATACAAACACCATGCATAACATATAGAGCTATTAAGTACTGTTTTGTACAAACAATTAATTATCTTCAAAATTTTGGCCTCACATTCCTGCCCCAAGTTCTCCATTTATTTAAAAATAATAAGAAATAACAGATGTATTTTATTTTGTCCATGCTTAGAATATTTTCTTTTCAACTTTAATTTAATTTTTGAATGAATACTTGACAGTTAACCATTGTACATTATTGAGGAAGGAGATGGTCCTGGATGACAGTCATAAGAAGACTTTTCTATTCCATTCTATGATTAAAAGAAATCCGTAACTTAATTTTGATTACATCAATTTATTCACTATTAACTTGATTTGATTCCTAGCATCTTAATTAATGTGATTCATTTTTACCAAGCTTAATGATCATGAGAATTGTGATTATTATAAGCCCCAAATATAAAAATTATGTTTGTTTTGATATTTATCACCTATAAAGAAGTGAAATCTTGGACAAATAGCAGACATAACATAAGACTGTTAACACAGTTATTAATAAATGACAATAGGTGATCGTGACAGGGACATGAGTAGACTTACCTAATATAAACATTTTATATAATTTTAAGCTTCTTTTATTTTTTTATAAATTATTTAGAACTTTATTTGATTCTTTGCCAATTTATTTAAACCAAATTATTTATATTTTTGTATGGTATAAACTAATATTAATTGGAAATTTTTTTTTTTTTTCATCTCGAAAGTTTTTTTCATGTTTTCATTGTTTTTGATATTTCTAAACTTAATATTATGCTTAAAAAATGTCATATCCTATCCTTCATCCTCGATCATTTTTTCCAAAATTTCACTTCCCAACTCTCCAGTCATGACTAATATCCTGAATTCCTGTCACATCAATGCACAATCCCTTACTGCACACTACGATGAATTTTAGAAACATTTCCTTGATAATTTTTACCACATAATAGCAATATCTGAAACCTGGTTAAAATCTTTTATCCCTTCCTCCCAGATTTCCCTGCCCAATTATTGTTTCCTAAGCCACGACAGATCTGATCGCACAGGAGGTGGTATCGGATTGTACGTTCATGAAAGTCTTAAGGCCAAAATTCTCCAGCAGTCTCCTTCTCATGAATTTCCTCACATGGTAGACATGTTCATTGAAATTTACTCTATCACCACTCCTCTGTTATTTGCCATCATTTACCGCCCTCCTCGTGTTCCATTCAATAACATCTTTGAATCCTCTCTTGTCAAACTGGTTTCCCATTACAACAATATTATTATCACCGGTGATTTTAATGTAAATATGTTCTCACAATCTCCTGAAAAATATTTCCTAACTGACCTACTGTTTTCCCTTATCTTTATCTTGTTCCTTATTTTCTACCCATCACACGCAATTTTCCGACACCTGGATAGACCTCTACATCTCTGACTCTCATATCAAAATCCTCTCGTCTTCCCAACACCCCGTTCCATTTCTTTCATCACACGACCTGATCCAAATTACATATGACCTACCGGCGAAATCCTTTACTCCCAATATGGTCTCATACCGTAATTTAAACCTTCTCTCTTATGAATCCCTTCAGCCTGATCTTGATTCTTTCCAATGGGACATCATATCTTCCTATAATTCCATCGATCCTATGATATCTGTCTTAACCTCAAACCTACAATCGTAGGTTACGGTAACCTACGTCATCCCACTGCACCTTGGCTGACTCCTGAAATAAAGGAAATGATGAAAAGAAGGAATGCAGCATACCATCGAACCCGTTTGCCTGCCGTTTCCTTATGAGTTTTTCAAGGAACTTCGCAATGGAACTCAATCCACAATCCGACTTGCTAAAGCCACCTACTTTTATAATGCTCTTTCCAATGCTCTCGATTCCAAATACAAATGGAAAATACTCTGTATCTCTATGCAGATGATTTCCAAATATATCTGTTCTTCCCACCCACCAACCTATTATCAGCCACAGAAAAACTTCAAGAAGATTTGGATAGGATTTGTGACTGGGTGAGAGCTAACAAGTTGAATTTGAATGCAGAAAAGTTGAAGGCAATGTTAATAGGCTACGATCACCTCCTTAAAACTGTTCCTAATATTCCAACTCTGTTCCTATATGATGATCTTATCAAATTCTATCCTTCCATCAAAAACCTTGGAATGATCTTTGATCAAACGCTTTCATGGAAAAATCATATATCCTATATCTCCCGCCATACCATTTCCACCTTAAAACGTCTAAATTACTCCCGTCACCTACTTCCCCTTGAAACCCGTAGGCTCCTAGTAACTTCCTTAATTTTTCCCCATTTTGACTATTGCTGTACGGTATATGGGGGCGTCTCTGGAGATCTCGAGGCAAAATTAAAATATTTGATTAATTGCTTTGTACGATTCATCTTCGGGATCCCAAGGGACGCCTCTGTTTCCCATTTTCATGGAGAGTTGAAGTGGCTTTATCCTTTCTTCCATCGTAAGTATTTCCTAGTATCCTTCTCTTTCAAATCATCCAATCCCACCATCCTTCATACATCTCCGAGCTCCTTCAATTCAAATCTTCTGATTTATACATAAGGGCCCACCGAACTGCTGCTTTCGACAGATCTTTCATTATCCAATCCTCATTCCTATGGAACTTCATCCCACCCGACATCAGTCAATCCAAAACCCTTCCTACCTTTAAAACCCGCCTGTTCAATCATTTCTTATCCATCCAGTCCCTATGAAATTGTAAATAGTTACTACTGTAAATATGTATATAAATTATCAGATCATTCTTCATTATTTTTACTTCATGTTTATTTTCATTTTTTCTTATTATTAACTGATTTAAATTAGTAACTTATAATTTCTTTTATTATTTTTTTTTCATTTTGACTATTCACTTACTCTATATTTTTGTTTTACTCTATATCCACTGCCAGTGTTTCAACTGCCTCCCACAGTGCTACATCCTACGCCCTGAAGACGACCTGCAAAGTGGGTCGAAACATCGGCAAAAATTAAAATAATTAATATATTTTAATTTATTATTTATTTGACCGCACCCTCGACTAACTCCTTCTCATATATTTTTGTTTATGTATCTCTGAGGCTCCTTAGCCCACATTTTGTCTTTCTGTATTATTCTAAAGGGACTCATCCCAGAATAAATAAAGCATTATTATTATATGAAATTGAAAGTGAGAGCTAATTTTACTTCTAAAATGGCATGCAATGAAAGATTTGAGATTAGTCATCTTCGTTTAATTTCTGACACATCTGGGTGGTTTCAAAATTCCACCTAGTGTGTTTAATGCAATCTTGAAAACAGGCGCCATTTTCGAATAGCCATGCAGAATTGGTACCAATTCTTATATTAACTGTTATAAGAGTGAAATAAGAAATTTAAATATTTTAAATTTTATTAAAAGTTTTTTAAATATGAAAAAGGTGGAGAAGGCATATTTTATTTGTAAGTGTACAGTATTACTGCAAAAATGTTGCTTCACTTTGATGGGTAAGCACAGAATCTAATGATCACAGGATAAATTGAACTCTGAGGACGGCAAAACATTGATAAGGAATTCACAATTATAACCTCCTTTTTTTTGTTTGTTTTTGTGGTTTTATGGCTAGGCATATTAGCCAATATAACAATTCATCTTTCATACCAATCAATTCATATGCTTAACAGTTTATGTTATTAGAAGTGACATATAGAAAGATAATATAGAAGTAGAGAAAGTCTTTTTATTTATCAAAATTACAAAACAACACAAAATAATATTTTTGGATTTAAAATCGAAAATCAAACGTGCTACATGGTCTGTTGACCGTCAGAGGAGTCTGTGTTTCATAACAAAATTATATTTCAGTCTATTTATATACAAATAATTAATAGGAAAATAGGACAATTATATTTACAATGTAAAAGTTATACAAATATTTTAATAACAAAAACAGTGGTACCAAAATTCTCCAATTTATTAATTATTAAATTCCCTGGTGAATATTATTCTATAGGAGAAAGCAGACTTGCAGTAATTTACCAATGCTATCCAATTGTTTCCATTTAATAAATTAACTACTTGATCCCGAGATAAATTTCGAGACTTTAACCATTTAATTCTAAATTCAGAGAGTATCGGACAAGTAGCCAGGAAGTGATGGAGATCTTCTGTTTCATTTGTATTACACATGCTACAATTATTTGTTTGCTGGAAGTGTTTATAATTTAATTTCAAAACATCAGCTCTAATTTTAATTACCCATCTGATCACCTTCAATGAGCTTTTGTCATCAATATAATTTACTGAAGTTAAATGAGGATAAAAAGTGAAAATTTTAGAATTCTGAACTTTGATAACATATTGGTTATATATGTCTTTCTGAATTTGAGTTCTTAGTAAATATAAATTAGCTTTCCATAGTTTAACATCATCACAGTTAGAATGATTTAAGTTGAAATTTAATTCATGCAGTTCAATCAGATTAAGTAAGTCCCTAAACCATGCGATTTATTTTTTAATTATCTGTAGTGCTAATATTTTTGGATATCTATGTGGTGGAAGATTCAAAATTTTTACAATATATCCAAAATGGAGTTTAATTGTGAAGATAAATAACGGATCAATTTTAGTCTCAAAGTGAATAAAGTGTTGGAGTATACTTTGGTAATTTAAATATTTTTTTAAGAAAGAATCTTAGTAGTCTTTCCACGGCTTAACTTACCCCATTCCAGATTTGTGCTCCATAGCACATCACTGCCCTACTAATGGAATTAAATACTTATATTTTTTGGATAGAGCTATGTCTTTGTTTTTCATAAACTGGTGCCAAATCAAATTCAATCCCACCTTGGCTTTCTCCAGTTTTTCTGCCAAGTGTTTAGACATTGAGAGAGTAGGCATGAGAATTATTCCTAAGTATTTGTACTGTTGAACTATGTCTATACTTTTGTAGCCCATGGACCATTTTTCTTTACGCGATGGCTTACCGCCATTGCGAAAGACCATTTAGATTTTTTGAGATTTATTCTCAGATTCCATTTTTTACAGTATTCGTTTAGAGAATTTATATTACTCTGTAATGTCACTGGATGTGAAGATAGCAGAACAATATCATCTGCAAAAGCCAGATATTTAATTTTACAATTTCCCTCTACACAAATACCACCATCTAAATTTTCTTCCAAATCATTTATATATAATGAAAATAGAATCGGACTAAGCAAACAACCTTGTCTTAAACCCGATTCCATATTAAATGGTTTCGTCGAACCATTGAGAATGTCTATCAAATCTTCCACCGAATGCTCATTTACAGATAAACGGTTAACTAAACCATCCACCTAGCCTGATAAACTAACTCATTTTGTCTCAACCAATTAATTTTTCGGAGGTGGTAAAGTAGACTGTTCAATTACCTTATTTTTAATTTTGAAAGAAGTAATAATCAGCATGTGATCCGAAAAAATCTGATAATCCGAAAAAATCTGATAAGAAAAGGTTATATAAGGCATAAATAATTTTTGGTCTAAGAGTTAGTATAAGGATAGTAGGAATTGTTGTAGGGAGAGGAATATTGTTTTTTATGAGAAAGCGGTAGACAGAATCACAGTCTGTGGATATATTTGGACAGGAAAGGAGAACATAGTTTACATTTGCTATTGAGGAATGGTCGTAGGAGGATAAGGAGAGTCCAAGATGTTTATTTTAAGGAGATGGGATGGTAGACTACTGTGGTTGAGGCAAAGGCGTGATAAGGAAGTCAGGCATTTTCTGGAATCTTTACAGGGTCAGAACCAATGAAAATGTGGGATTTGAGGTTGGACAGCTTTATAATAACGCCCTTTCATGCAGGTAGAGTACTCTTTTTGCCATTTCTGTTGTCACCATCTATTTATTAAGTGAGCCTTAGTATCTTTCGTTGATACATACAGTTGACAAATATCGGTTAAAGTCGCTTCTCTAGCAAGCTTGTCGTTAAATACATTACCATTATGCCCTTTTATCCAAATAATATGTGCATTTAAGCTCCTGTTATCTAACTGGCGTAGAAAATTAAATATTTCAGATATAATAGCATGAAAGGAGCTGTGAAATTCTTGATAGAGGCAACCACACTTTGGCTATCAGACAAAATAATCACAAGAGGAGGTTCTGCAGATAGGGCATATGTTAGAGCCTCGAGTAATGCTATAACCTCAGCGGTAAATATGGAAGCTACACCCGGTAGGACTCGGACGTATCTTCTAATGGATTATAGAAAGCTGAACCAACTTCAAATTCTTGCTTGCAGCCATCAGTGTATGTCAACGCTTGTTCATAGTACCCACTGAAGGGTATCTTAATAAGGGTATAACCTCCCTTATTTATATCCAGCTTTAGTATTTCTGGAAACCCTCAATTAATTAATTTCAATTAATGTTGGCGCTTCAAATAGGTTTAATTATATCCCTGCTTTCGGCTTCCATTCACTGTTCTCGCTCGAAAGATGTTACACAAATCCCCCAAGAGGTCCTTTTCAGTTGAGGTCAGGGCATTGGCAGAGGGTTTGGTTTATCTCCATCTACTTTTCTACAACCATTTTTCGGATTCCATCTACAGTGTGATTAAAATATCTTGTGCCTACCAATCATGATGGAGCAACACTTAAGACGTAGCATCTAGTCATTTAATATTTACTAATCAATGTACAGATTAATATAACTCATGATGCTGGATGGAAATATAAATCATTCATGTTATAAATCCAATAAAAATTTATAAATCTAGACGGTTAATATTTAATTTGATTAATAGTAAAAAACTTAACAAAACTGTAAGTTATTTACAAATATAATCAATATTTTTCTGGAACAATTTAAGCAACCAATAACATACATATTAAAAATACTACTGTTTTCACTGACCAACCATCATCACTAGTATTATTATAACACATCCTAAAAACTGCAGTCCATAATTCCCCTCCATCAGCTTTCCACACTCAGATATGTAGGTTCTAGTGATATTATCTTGCCTTCACATAGTGGAGCTTAAGGCTAATGGAATATAACTAGAAACTGCTCCACATTATGAAAAATTTCACATTCACCATCATTTAACATTCCATTCGCCTTGGATGATGGTGTAATCATCAGTGATCAGCTCAAGAGATTGGTAAATTACTAATAATACAAAGTCATAGTAACGATGTAAAGACTATTATGTGCATGTAACAATTAAAATTAAAAAAATATATTGTCACAAATTTAAGGGAATAGAAGAATCATTTCATTACGCTGCAAATTATGGGTGTAAAATAAAATAAATAATTTTAGTACTGCTCAAATAAATGCTTATATTTTTTGAACATATATCCAACTAAGAAATGTTCTCTCCTAATGACAATCAAAACAAAAGTACACTACATGAAAGTGCTAATTGATTTTGAGTAATATAAAACTGATAAGGGAAACAAGTTCAGAGTATGGTGTAAACAATAATATAATATTGCTTGTAAAAGATACTCACATTTTGACTCGTAAATCCTGACAATCTTTAGGAGTTCCAATTGTTTTTAAGTTTTGTTCTAAATCTTTCCTTCTTGTGTTTATAGAATAAATGTTAGATGCAATCTTATCGGTAAGCTCGAATAATTCAGTAGGGCTAAACTTAACACCAGCAATTGCAACATTAGGGACCCTTTCTGTTGTAGAGCCATAGTTCTTTTGTTGCCTGGAGGTATTTGCTAGTCCTTCAGACATCATAAGTTTACAAAAGTTTTAATTTTTAAAGAATGGTTCCCAAAATATAACTGCTAGAAGGAACTCAATGAAAAAATCAAAAAATCTCCAAAAGTTTAAGGGGAAATCATTTAAAATAGAAGGAACACCCCATAACAAGAATTTTTTAAAACCATGAAGTTATAACCTAATAAAATTATGAAGTATTTAAGAAAATATTTCAATTTTATAAGTAAATCAAGGTATAAAATTCAACCGTGATGAATGTGAACGTTATCAAGAGATTGAACACATTTTAAAGAATATTTCGCAGTTATAAAAATTTAGAACCATTGGCACTCCTACTTGACAGTTCAACATCAAAACATCTGATTTGTTTGACCAGGAGGCTACAAAATTTGGGTAAACAAATTGTTGTTTTACTTCTCTGAAAAAATTGATATATTTTTTAAGATTTGTTAATCGATTTAAAATTATCATTTTTTATTAAATTTCTCAGGATCATCAGCGGTTATAATTTATATATACATGTTTTAATCCCTACTCTAGAATGTATTGAAATATAAAGTTAAAATTTCTTGGAAGTTTGCATTGATAATTATTGCACAATGATAATGTTTTGGTCGTATCTTGGGATTCATGTAAATCTTTTACGATTTATTACAAAATCAAGTTTGGAACTGATCAAGTCACAACAGTACGTTTGGACGTCTCACCTCTGCTTTCGTTCTGTGAGTATTTTGCTAATTTTAACTATGTTATACTTTTATTCCTATCGAAATTTTATATTTGTGCTCTTATTTGTCTGTTTTACTTAACTAATAACATCTTTACGGCAATTTTTCTATTTTCTCCTTGACGTTAGCGTCATGTAGTCTCATTGTCTAGCTGCAAGGTTGTCTTGGTCGCTCTTTTTCTTAGAAAATTAAATAATTTAGGTTGTGTAATTGTTTTTTTTTCATTTACAAGTGTTGTTTTAATTTTAATTATTTGGTGTTGTGTTATTTTTCCATAATGATTTCACGTTCGTAGTTTCCTTGGTGTTTCAAAATTTAGTATACATTTGCCCTACACATAATTTTCCTTGAAACGATTGATTTGATTTCTTTAGCTATAACCCCTTGAGTAGGTTTAAACACTCGAACTGTAGCATGTTAAATTTTGTTTCTCTTAGTGTTAGCTTTCTTAAACCTTTCATATTTTCATCAATTTTACCTATGTTCTGTTTATTATAAAATCCTACGTTTATGTTGTCTATGTCCAGCAAGTTTGTTTTGAAGATCAGCTGTCTCTCTTCTTTTCATCACATAGATTCTTTTTACACCCAAAAATCATTTTACATCATTCAAAATTTAAGTTATACTTTATAAAGAAAGAGCATAAACATCTTGAAAAACCTACCTAGCTTGTACCTATTGTAAGTAAATACCCTTTATTTATTTACCTTGTTTAATTGTTTATTTTTAACCCTGTTGATTTAGGAGGTTTTGTGCCAACACTCATCTCCTTAATCATTGATATAGTTTATGTAATAAATTTTATTGAATTTTGGAATACAATTTTTATTCTTATGTTTTAGTGCATTATAGTGAATATGTTGTCAATCAAGATTGTTTTTTAATGTTTTGTTGAATCAATGTTTTTTTCTTATTTTATGTTGCTATCTTCAGTTATTAATATTATTTAGTTGTGTTTTAACTTATTTTATGGATAGATCTTTGTGGATATAAATTGGATCATTCTTGATAACAATGTTTATTGGTAACATGTTTTGACAGTTGTGTAATATTATGTTTGTCTAATTGTTTTATTACTTAGTACTTGACTTTTTTTAACTATTGTCAATTATGTTTAACGTACAGTTTTGATTGCTTAGGGACAAGTATGTAGGGTTCATCTTGTGTCTTCAACCTTAGGGCCATTGCCTTGAATCAAGGCCAAACTAAGACAAATTTAGTATTACTTTGTTTTTGTTACTTGTATTCATTATTGATGTTTTTAATATAAGTTTTATATGTTTTGAACTATTTCTTTTCATTTCTTTTTGTTTTTTAAACAGATCTCCCACCATGTTCAATATTAACCTTATCTTTATATTTGCACATTATGGTGAAGAGAATGTTTGTTTGTTTACACTCATTGTGTGTTCCTATATATATTTTTAATTCACACACACATACACACCTATTTATAAAAACACATATATGCTTGTGTATTGAGAGGGAGATTAATTTTCTTACTCATGTTTCTTTTTACTACTGCTATTTCATCAAGCATTTCAAATAGCGCTATTGTGCATTTTCTAAACCATTTTTGATAATTCTGAAATAATTGAATTTAGCCTGAAATGCTGTTAATAATTGATTTGTGGAAATACTTATTAATGTTTTAAAAAGTATGTTTTTATAGCTTGGACTTTTTAGTTTTCTAATCCCTTTAATGTTCTTAAGACAATTGATTGTTTTTTAATTTGATTTCTAAATAGTTGAATATAAATCTTGAGTTGATCAATGATAGTTTGCGCATGGCAAATAATGGGTCCTGACGTCAGGAATGACGTCATCTGATGTCTTTTGTTATTCATCTATTACGTATACGAAACTATATTTTCACTTTTTTTTTTTTTTTTTAAGTAATTTTAATGTTTTTCATTGCATTTTTGGAAACTTGCAAAATTATAATTCGAATGGAGTTATATATACTTTTTTTCGATCGTATTTTATACCAAACAAAATTAAGTTGTTTTTTATGAATGTTATTTTTTAAACTTATTAGTTATTTTATCTGTAAGTTATTTTATTATTTATTTCGCGACCATGTATGAAATAACGTTATTTGTTACTAACAGATTACAGCTGCAAAGTGGTAAACATGTTTTCTTAATAAGGCTCTTGTAAACACTACATCTCCGGTGAAATGCGTGTATGTTTCAAAGATGATTCGTAAACTCTGATTTGTTGGGAAAAGTTAATTTATAATTAACGGTTCTATACACAAAGTTGATGGCAAAATATTAGGAAAATGAATGTATCAGAATCTGTATTGTCCTAAATTTCCTTCAGTAATATTGATTTCTTATCTCCGAATGGAATAGTTAATCACTGCTTTTCAATTTAAAAATAAAGGAGTTCGCATTACTATTCACCTTTGTGATGTTTGATACATTATGTTATTGCTTATAATTTTAAGTTCCACAACTTCAAAGCTCTGAGGTCATTGACTTCACTTCATCATGGTACACATTGTAGTTTCAGCTACCAGAACTACTAATTGGTGCTGAGCCTTTATTTGATTTAAATATTATTTAAGTTTAGATACAGCACTGTATTCTAAGTTCATCATCAAAATTAGTTTTAATTACTTTTCAGTTTAGTTTAAGAGCCAAGCACTTATGAAATTTTTTATTAATGACATTTGAATTTGCGCTATATTGTGCATCCATTGCTATCAATCTATTTTACATTAAGTTGTAATATTTTATTAAATTGTTCTTTTCATTGGTGTTCATTTATTAACATGGGCAGATAATTAACGTGTTAGTTTTTTATGATTTATTGACATTAAACTTCCTCCTTGCTAAACGTAAACTCTCATCCTTCGTTTTTCTAGTTTAATGGTCACGTCTGGCGATAAAACAAGGAAATCTGCAGATCTGGGCAGGGTTGCCCTCCTCCCAATGTATTCTTTAATAAATTAAATAATGTTAAATTTTGCGTCAAACGAGTAGAAATTTTTTTAATTTGGGTACGTGGTAAGGAATAAAAGCACGGTCAACCAAGCTAATTTTTACCACATTTGTCAAAAACAGACAAATTACTATAAATGGCCCTGTGCCTTGGAAATAAGTTACCTAGGAGGAAAAACCCATAGAATCAAGTTTGCAGAGCATCAAATTTTGCGGCAACTGAGTACTGACATTTTTATTGTAGGCCAATTATATATCTCGAATCTGGATTCCTTATTCCTTTATAAAATTCGGTACCTTTCGACACATAGTTTACCAAAATCCTTTTCTGTTAAGAGGTGTAAAAGAGACTTATTGCTGTATATAACAGACTCTAAACAAAAATAACTCAGTAGAATAGACACCCATAGTATTGGAATATTAAAAATCACGTTTACCTTAATTTCTAACAATCGAGAGATTACCGATTTTGTTCGCAGTAAGTGACCTACATTAAATTAGTTGGTACTCCGTTTACACAAACTTTGATGCTCTAAAACTTTTATTCTGTGGGTTTTTTCTCTAAGAGAACTCATTTTCAAGTTACAGGGGCATTTTGTAGTAATTTGTATCAGCTTTTGACAAATTTGGTAAAAATTAGCGTTTAAAAGGTGGTTTTATACCTTATTGCATAACCAAATCATAAAGTTTATGTACTCGTTTGACGCAAAATTTAAGGTTCTTTAATTTATTAAAGAATACATTTTTCGCTTTGATGCATCGTTTAGGAGTTATATGTGAAAAAATCTGAATGTTTTGGTTGTAAAAAAAATTTCGTTGGTGGCCCGCGTTAGCAATTTTGTTTTTTACATCTCTAAACCCATATATACAAGTTAATAACATGAAACTTTTCTCACATTTTTCGCAATGGATTTCCCGTTTCGATCCTCAAATTATTGGCCTAATATTCTTTAAATCAGCCGCCATTTTTGAAAGCAGCGGCTCCGGAACGGCAGACAAGGTTTTCTTAACTCAGAATAACATACACTTCTGTAATTTACAATCAAACCTTCTCCTGCGATCAGGTCGATGTTTGGGCCCTGGCTCCAGGGCTAGTTGGCTTAGCTGGACCAACTACTCTGCAAGACACTACTCAGACTGTTTTTTACTGTTATATGACACACTGTTTATTTTCATTATAACTTAGTTATATATTTTTTCTCAAGATGTCATAGTTTTATTTGATTACCACCAAAAGAAAAAAGAATTGATAATTCTTGTCAGCAGTACATACACACACTTTCGTAATTTACAATCAAACCTTCGCCTGCGATCAGATCGATTTTTGGGTCCTGGCTCCAGGGCTATATTTCTAGCATCATTAAGGATACATACAACTCTGAAGATAATGCTCGGAAGTTTGTTTTTTCCATATCACATTTACACATTTCATTAAGAAGAGCATTGTGGTTAGTCCTGACTTTGAATATCGCGGCTTTCTCTTTTCTATCTAATTTGTGGTTGGTTCTTATGGTTGATATGTGAATGTTTGGTGACCCGTATTTACCTTATCATATTTTTTTTTTTATTACATCCAATGAAAATCGGACATCTATCTATCGTTGAAAAGGTCTAGTATTTGCCAATTAGTTTGCTTTGTAATTACTTGGGTTCCACAGTGTACAGTTGATTGCAAAATAATTTTTTTTTTCCAATGTGGTTCAGCTTCTCAAATTGTGAGCTAGTTCCTAACACCTTTATTCCCAATTATTTTAAGGCACCAAGAACTGATGATGCATCCATCAGGAATACTATTATCGCATTCTTCTGATTTGGTGAAGATTTTATTATTTGCACAGCGCTCGCAATAGCCCTTCTGCTCAGCCCAATAATTAATTAAGATGTGGTCGGTAGTGATTAGGGATGGCTATCGATATAGTCTATATTTTCGAAATATCGACATTTTCCTTCCTAAATTCAATATTTTAATTTAAAAATTACAATTAAAACTATCGATTTTAGAAAACGCTAGGAATTATATATGAATCTGATCGTTATGAAAATAAAATATATTCGTCTTGTCTGTTTCAGAATATATTGCTTAAAAGAGGGAAATATCTATTTTTCGATAATACCGACTATCGTCCACCCTTAAATAGAGTTGAATAAGGCGCTTGGGGGCCTTCGCCCTTCTCACTCAGTATACTCGATTTGTCCAAATTTGTTAGTTAGAACTTTCTCAAACCAAGGTCACTAATTTTCAATCAAATCTATGTGCGATTCAAAAAATTAGCATTTCGCTGAATCCGATCTATAGGTGAATGGAATGGATAATTGGTTGAATGGAAATTTCTGAGGGAGGGGGGGGACTGAAGATGGCGTAGGGTAGAAGAATTGATATTTTCATTAATTAATTTAAAGAGAAAACTAACATCTTTTTTGCTTTGTTTATGTGCTAGAAATTCAATATTTATATTGAAAAAATTGTTATAATATTGATGAAAACATCGACTATTGATATTTCAAGTTCGATATTTTGATGGTATCGATAGTTATAGGCCGATATTAATATTTATGACAATACCGTTATTGTGTCTTCAATGTCCCATTTCTTGTAGGGATTGACTTTTTGCACAACCATCAGAGAATTCAACATATATACCAGCGTCATTGTCCTTTATTGTTCCGTGGTTGAGTATATATATATTTCTGTCCATTCGTGGCTTGGGTAGTTCGCATTTAAGATAAATGCA